AGAATTACTTCCTCTCCCTCCTCTTACCCTTCTTTATATAGAACTTCGCAAATAGCCTTATCCTTTCTATAATAAAGTAAAAGATTATTCGTCTACTATATTTATTATATTCTCTACTTCTAAATTAACCCCCTCCTATATAAATATATTTTTCTAAATAAATAGTATTATTTATATTAATACTATAGGGTTATAGCCTACTTTAAACTATCGGCTGTAATTAAACTAAATATAAGGCCGACTTTAGAATTGTAATACTATTTAGAATTAAATTAGTATAATTAATAGAGGAAGTATTTAAATACTAATTAGTGTAATTAATCAAAAAGTATAAGGATTATTTATAAAGGATATTAAATTATAAGGACGGCTATATAAATAATCTATATAATTAAAATTATAATATTTAAAATACTTATCCTTATTAATTAAACTTCTCGTAAATTATTAGTAAGAATAAAAGTCCAATTTTAGTAATTTTAATAATAGTAATTAAATAAAAAAATTAGGGAGTAGAATATACGAGTATAGTAAGTCAAATTACTTAATAAATTTGCCCGTATATAACTCCAATTTATTAGGGTCGAAATTCTAAACTAATAATACTATACTTAAAGTAATACGATATTACTTAATAACCAACTCAAATATTCTCCAATATACCTAATATAGGGCTTCTCCTAATTAGCCTATATTAAAATACCTCTACTAAATAAATCTTATTTCTTTATTATTATATTTATCGATCCAACGCTTTATTATATTAAAGAGGCTAAAATTCTATATAATAGCTCTAATAACTAAACTATTACCTATATATTATATAATAATTAATATACTATAGAATATATAAGGGGTAATATAGTTCAATATAATAAATAAGGTTGGGAATAGTACCGCTAATAATAAAACTTTTTAAATTTTAATTAACCGACTCAATTAAGGATATAATACAATAATTAAAATTAAATCTCTTATTAATATAATAAATAACCTACTCCTACTTAACTACTATATACGTTTCTCTTAAATATATAATAATTATAATTTACTACCTAAAGAAATTTTTAAATTTCTCCCAAATAATATTAAATATTTTAATTATATAGGTATAGTATATATACTTCCAAAAATTGTAAAAACTAATCCGTAAATACTCTATAATATTAAGGAGAACGCCCAATTAAACTATACTAATTGCTAATTTATTTATATATATAATAATACGCTTATCCTCTTTGTTAAATTTATTTAGAATTATTATATTACTAGGCAAATATATTAATTAAATTAATTAGATTGATTAAATTACTTACTAGGTCGATATTAATATTTCTTATTATATTTATATAATAATTACATTAATATAAGTATAATTAACCTAAATAGTGACCTTCTTATTCTATTTATATTTAATATTCAATACTATATTCTTATTAATATAAAAAATATATAATTAAAAATATATATTTAAATAGACTCGCTTAATAACTATCCTTATTATTAAATTATAATTTATAATAATAATAATTAGTTTACTAATACTAATAGCTTTACAACGAATATTAATTTAATTTATTAATTAATTAAATCCCTTTTATCTCTTATTATTAATAAAGTTAAAGCCGTAATTAAAAATATAGCTAACCCTAATTATACTAATAATTTAGAAAAAGGCTAGGCCTTTATTGTTCGTTTTATATATATTATCGTACATTTAGACCCAAAGATTTTCCTTCCATATTTATTCTCCCTAAGGATTACTTTAAAAAAAAGCAATCGGTTTATTCTTTTAAAAAGTATCTACCTAATTAACCTCAAAGTAAACCCCCTTCTCTATAAGTAATTTTATAATTAATTAAAAGGGATTATAATTTATATTAATTTATTTTTTAAAAGTATAACGAAGGTTTTCTAATTATTTAATTATAAAATAAAAATCAGGAAATTAATTATATAATTATTTTATAATTTTATAATTCTTAATAATAGATTAGTTAAAATACTATATAACGAATATTTTATATTCTACTTTAAAAATTCTATAGATTTATAATATTTTAGTAGGAGGATAGGTATAATTATTATAGTTATCTTTAATTTTAAAGGTCTACCGTCTAAAATTCGTTTTTAATACTTTAGTAACTCCTTTCTAAGGATATCCCTATTTAATTATTAATATTAAATAATTATAGGTAATTGAAGGACGAATTTTACTAGCTAAATATATAAAATTAATCCTTATATAATTAAATCCCTTAACTAAATCGCTTAAATATATTTTAATTAATTAATAATTAAACTTTATACCCCACTCCCTAATTACTTTAAAGAATTTATTAAAAGTATTATACTAAATTTTAAAAATAATATAACGGTTATTATAAATATTATTACTATCGGGGTTACTACTATTATTATTATTATTATTAATCTCTATAAATTAAGTAAAAATAGGTTTAACTAGGGTAATATTTATTAAAAGTCTCAATTATAAATTAATAAGGTTAATATTAATTATTTAATTAAAATAATCACCCGCACTACGGTCGCACGCACCCATCGGCTAGGGTATCGTTATATCGGCTATCTATATTATAATTAATTAAGGAAATATATTAAAAAGTAATATATTAATCCGTACTATCGATTAAATATAAATACTTTATTTACTTTAATAATATTTAATAATATATAGGGTAGTAAATTAATTAAATATAATATAATAATAATATATATAGTTTAATGGAGAAAGTAATATAATAAGGTATATATTAGAATAATTGCTAAATTAGATTGAATTAGCTAGTATAGTACGAGGGTAGTTAATACAACCCCTAAATAGGTATAATAATTTAAAATCTAGGAGTTTAGCGGGCACGGTACGAACGAGACTAGTGCGGGTCGGTAGTGGGTGTGTAGGGTTAGGGTTATATATAAGTAAAAAGGTAGATCCCCGTACGAATGGAGTTTCTTCCCTGTGTAAATAGAGTTTCTCTTTTAATTAGGGAATTCTACTATTAAAGTTCGCTAATAGTTTTAGAATTATTTACTTGAATTAAAATAAATTATAGCCGCCTATATAAAGAAAATATTATTAGTATTATCGAACTACAACCTTTTAAAATTAAATAGGGTTTACTTATTAAATTAATTAATTAATATATTTCTAATAGTTTTATTAAAGTATTAATAATAGTTTTTTATTATAAGTAATTTTATTTTAATAATACGAATTTAATTATTATTATTAATAAGGTTAATAAAATTACTATTAACTTTATTAACCCTATTATCCCTATAGCGGTCGTAGTCTTCGTTATTATTATAAAAATAATTACCGTTACTACTTTAATTGCCGAACGCTATATTATTTAACGTATTAATTTATTTTTTTTTAATATTAAAGGTAATATTTTTTATAATATACTATAGGTAAATTTAATATTAAGTATTATAGTTAAAGACAGTACGGACGGTTCTCTTAAATATATAATTATAATTTAATATTATTATATTTACTTTTATAATATTCTTATTAGTGAATAATTTTTTGAAGATATGTAAAATTTAGTAAAAGGATTCCTCCTTTTTACTATTCAATAAGTAATACCTGATATTAAATATAGTATATATATAAGTAATACTATAAATTTATAGTAAAGGTATATTAAACTAGTTTATTTTATAAATATAATTTAAAAACTATACTTCCAAATTCTTCCTTTATTAATTAATATACTAATTGTATATCTAAAATATATAATTAATTAAACAGTCGTTATTATACATAAGGGATTTACCTTTCTTACTTCCTTTATTCCTATTACTATTCGGCGTATTAAATTTATTATTATTACCCTTATAATAAAATTTTATAAATACTGCGGGGTCCGACTATAAAGAATTGAGGAATTATTAAATAGGGGTGAATACGCCTACCTTTACGATTTTGGTAACGGTTAGTATATTTAATATATTATAATTCCTAACTTTAGCTTTTAGAAAATTAATTTATAAAGTAGCGGCAATATCCCTAAATATATTTTTAAACTATTTCCTATAATTATAATTGAACTTTTAAATACCGTTAAACTTCTTATATTTTACAGCTTTTACTTTCTATTTATAACCCTTTTTACTAGACTTCAAAGTATTATAAATACCCTTAGGGGTACGGCCAATATATTTATTTTTACCTTCGCCGTATACGAAATTATACTAAATTAGTTTATTATCAACTTTATTATTACTATAATTTAACGTAATATAAAATTCCTTTACTTTAGTAGTAGTATTAATATTATAAAAGAGAATTTTATAATTAAACTACTTATATTTATAAAGGCAGTATAATTATAAGAGACTCTCGCCACCGTTATCCTTATTATTAGAGATTTAAATTACAGCGGGAGCGGGGGGGTCGCTAGTAAGATTAATAATGCTAGTCTTAAATTTTGAGGGGTTAATAGGGTAAATAGAGCGGGGTATTTTAACGACGATAAATACTATAGCGCAGTATTGGCGATAATAAGGTATAGGGGTAATAAAGTATATATTCAATCTTATAAGTATATTAGGGATGTACACTTATGCTGCTCGCTGTAAAATTTTGGTACGGCTGGTATTTACTAATATTTGCTAATATACTATATAGGGCGGCCCCTTCTAGTTAGTATACGGTCACATTATCGAGGCACACGGTCACTTTATCCGCCCCGTTCGTATTCGGTATTGAGGAAAAGAGAGGCCCTCTTGTGATAGGCTGCCACACTTGATAGCCCCTGAGATTCCAGCATTCACTCCATCCTCGGTTGTTGAATGCAACAGAGAGCAGACCATATTGAGTAAGCAAATGGGGACAGGCAGCTGTTGAATGGGTTGGGTTGTTGGGTTGGGGACGCTGAGCGGCCAGGGCCTGTCACGTCACGTGCCTCAGACAGCTGAATGACAGGATGGCCCGTGCTGAACTACCCCTACATACCTACCAAGCTTTTTCCCAGGATCGACCGCGAGCGGCAGACATGACTGCCGGTGGCATTGTGCTTCCATTCCATTCAACATTTCTTGGGGAACGCCATGTTGCCCTTGCATTTCATTCTCATTCTCATTCTCACCTACCTAGGTATGCTAGGAACCGATTGCGGGGGCATATGTGAGTGCCAGAGGCACAGGTTGTTGCAGATAGATTGCCATAACAATCCCCTCAATTTCAATCGCCGGTTTGATAGTCATGGACCACCGTGGCTGATGCTCCATAGGGGGGGACTCTCCCTCGCAGGGAACTGGCTGCTTGGGATGCGAGGGCGGCAGAGACTCTTCTCATCCACGATCACTCTCAGCCGTTCACCAGTCGCAAACCCGAAGCAACCGAACACGGCACAGAGAGAGAGACATGACCTCAGCAACTTGCCGACACATACCAACACCACCAGCAAGACAATGAGTGAGATTGGATTGGCACGCCTTCGAAAACGGTGACACGAAACCAAGAAACCGTCCAATCATCCCCCCCCCCCTCCAGTGCCCCAAAAACACAGCCGCCATGCTCTTGGTAGTATTTATTGGTGGCGCCATGTCGTCTTCAGCCTCAGCACACTAGACTAGGTCCTCGGTACAAGATTACCACTTGTTTTTCCATGGGGTCATCCCCACCGTCATGATTTGGATGCACCAACCAAGTGGTGTGCCTGGTCGACTGCAACTGGACAAGCTTTACTGCAGCAAAACTTCCCTGTCGACATTAGAATCCTTGCAGGCCCTACAAGGTTCGACAAAGTGGAAACTGGCAACTGTCCCTCACTCATCGTCATTGCAGTGGTTCCATTACAGATCGCCCAGGTCCCCTTTTTTTTTTCTTGGTCTTTCGTATGCGCGGATTTTCCTCCGGGGTCAATGAAGTGTGGTAGGATTTGCCCCATGCTTGCATAGGTGCTCATCTCAATTCCCTCAATTCTCCTGACCAATCTGTTTTCGGTCCTGTAAAGAACAGGGTGTGGAGGGCAGTGCACCACCATCTGTCCGCGTAGAGGAGGATTGTAGTCTACACCACCTCGTATCAAGGGAGCTTCCAGTCCCGGAGCCAGGGAAGCCATCCAACAAAAAAGCATGGGTTGTACCTCTTTAAGGTAAACTCATACCTTGGAGGCTGCCTGAAAAATCCCCATCGGAATTGGGATAGACCTGGATGGAAGGACTATCGAATGCCTTACACTACATCGCGACGGAATCGTCCCCTCCCCAGCGGGACTTGAATCTGCAAGTGGATGTCTCAGGCGGTCACTCAACTGCCATTTCCAGTTCCTCTTTTCCTGTTCGCGGTGGCTTTCAATCCCAGTTCCCACGGCCCTTGTCTGAAAAAGGGAGATGGGGGGCGGGTTCAATCGTGCTGCATACCTACCTTCCCGTCATACAAAGAGCAGTTTATGTAGTTGGTATTGCCCTCCTCCACAGTTTACCTCGACATATGTGCTTCTCTTTTCTGCCTCTTCCTTGGAACTTTGATGCCTCCCATCTCCTTGACGTCTTGATTTCCAAGATCCCGATCCGACCAAGTTCAGACGAAGAAAAAAGGGGTCCACTCTCCACTTCCACTTACACGAGACGACAGCGGGGACCATCGATCAACTCCACGCGATATACTGGGATCATCCGCGTATCGACAGCCCCGATTTCAGGATTCTTGGCCGCTCCGGGGTAACCGGGTTTTCGAAACAACAGGCCTTGTCCAAGAAGACCTATTTTGCAGTTTCTTTCATACGTCCCTTACCTTTTACCTAGAGGTGCTTTTGCATCACTTCACTTGCTTCATCCAGCATACACCTTAACGGCTCAGTGGCGATTCTGACATCTGCCGTCAACCACTTCCTCGGCACGCACCGACAATCATGCAGATAATATAATTGACGCCATTCCCTTTTCCGCCCTAGTTCTCGCCCTCGCTCCCGACTTCCCCATTAATTTCATCAACCGCTGAGGTCCCAAGCAAAGGCGGTTGTCTAGGTAATCTACCTACATTCGGAGCATATCCGAATAGTGCAGGTCGCCCCCCGTTCCAACAACATCATGTTGCTGGGCGAGCAGACCGGGACGGCGGGTCACTTCTCGACCATCTCGTCGTCCTTCTCAGCACTTGTCGCCCACTGGCGTTCCTACCGACATATCCACCGCATCGCCCTAGTCATCTTTGTCCTCTTAACCATCTTTGTGCTGGAAAGGTACCGGTCCGCACTGGCCAGTACGTTCCAGACATCAACCGATCCCATTGCCGTTCCTGGGGGAAACTCGGCAGCCCAGGATAATAATCATTATGAACCATACCCGGAGGCCAATCAAGGAGGAGGAGGGAAACATGGTTCCGAGGAATCAAAATCCAAGTATCAGCAAATGACTCCCGAACAACTCCTCGAGTTGTCCCAGAAGAACGCGGGCAACAGCACCCTCGGCTTCCACGCCATCAAGTACATCAACATGAAGGCCCGCTATGACCGCGAGGACGCCATGGCGCTGCAGGCGTACATGTCCGGGCTGGATATTGAGGATGCCCCGGCCGTGGAGGCGGATATGATTGATCCCGTTGGGATGCCGCCTACGCATCGGCCGGGAAGGCTCAGGGTGGGGGAGAAGGGGTGTTGGAGGGCTCATGCTAATGTATGTTTTTTTTGTATTCTTTTTTTTTCTTCTCTTTTGTCTTTTCCCTCCCAACAACCCTCAACTACTTACCATAGCCTCGTTGACCCTACACTTTAATTCTCTTCCGGAGTGTCTCAAGGAATGAGAACCTAGCTGTTAACCTGCACAAAACCCCCCTTTCAACTTCTCCATATGTCCCCGACCATGTGCACCCCATCTGCTGCTGCAGAATCCCAACATGAAACCCATTTGATGCTCCCAACCCGGACTCCAGTCTCCCCAATTACCTACCTCTACCTTGATCCCATCACCTACCACTATCCACCCACGCACAATTCCCTCCCCCAACCGCTCTCCACCCTCCTCCCCCATGCTACCTTTTATCCAACCTCCGTCCATATATTCTACCCTGTACATAACCACTAACACCAGTCTTTGACCCACAGATCTGGTCCCAAATGACCCGCCACCGCCTCCCCCCTATCTTGATTCTCGAATCCGACGCCGCCTGGGACCTCAACATCCGGTCCATCATGTCCAATCTCAACACGCACTTCATCGATTTCTTAAACCAAATCAACTCCACCGCCGTCCACGATCCCTCCTACCAGTCTCCCAACAACCATCTTCACCATCCTAACCCCACTTCCTATTCTGACAATGGGCCAATCAAACCTAACCCCGACGACCCCTGGTTGTCTGAACACTGGGACTTGTTCAGCATCGGCCAGTGCTTCGAGTACTCCCAGGACCGCGAAATCAAGCTCGTCTATGACGACGAAAGTGTCCCCGCCGGCAAGGAGTACTGGGGCAAGAAAATGGGGAAGGAGAGGGTGATTAGGAAGAGTGGGGGGATTACGTGCACGACGGCTTATGCGATCAGTCATACGGGCGCGGCAAAGTTGCTGTTGAGGGGGGCGATGGATTTGGATAATCCTGTGGATTTGTTGATTCGGAGGATGGTGATGAGTCGGGATCTGGTGGCGTATAGTTTGTTTCCGCCCGTGATGGCGCAGTGGGAGTACATCGGGGGGATAGGCATGGCGGAACGAGGCGCGCAGTCGGATATTAATGGTGGGAAACATCGGGATACGCCCGAGGATGCGGATATGCCGGGGTGGAAGGATGTCCAGGAGAAGGCGGCCATTTGGCAGACCAAGGGACATCATCATGATGTTGCGTTTGAGAAGATGGCGCTGAAGGAGGCGTGGACCGAGATCATGGGCGAGGGGCCTGAAAAGTTGGGGGAGAGCTTGTGGAATCCTGAGACGGGGGATTAAAGTCGGTCAGTTTTGGAAGGAATTGGATACAGACAAAGGGAACAAAATGAACGGAAGGGAAAGAAGACGAACAAGGCCAAGTGGCTGCTGCAGTGCTTGTCAACAAAAACATCATGCTTGAATCAGTTATGAAAGTTTATCTAATACATTTCTACGTGCAGCTACATGTACACTGCCCCAGTTCTTTGCCTGGCCGTCGAGTTACTCCTGTCAAACATGTCCAACACCACCACTACCACTACCACTACCACTACCACTACCACTACCAACACCAGCATCATGAACAGCTACATGCCGCAACCACAATCAACACCACAACCACAAACCCAACCCAAGATTTCCTCTCTAGAGTCTTTGTTCTGTGTTTTTCTAGTTTTTTTTTTTTTTTTTTTTTTTTTTTTTTTTTTTTTTTTTTTTTTTTTTGGGTTTTATCTTTTTTTTTGGGGTTTTGTTTTTGTGTTCTCGTACTCCATGCCTGTCCCTCCCTGGTTCCAGGCGAAACAGTCCTGGCAGCGATAAATCAGTTCGAACTGGGTCGAATTGACCTCGGATCATCAGCCTGGTCGGGGTTTGGGACACCACCGTCTGGCGGCTGTTTCGTCCTTCGCCCGAGACGGCGTCCGTCTCTTTGCGCATCCTTTGGCCCTCCCGGAGATGCGAATCCCCAGGCAAATTGATACTCGCGAACCCAACTGTCATGACCCCCGGCGCCATCATTGAGAGAGCCGAGTATGGCGCCGACCTGAAAGCAAGTAACCATGTGTTAGCCTGACATCAATTCCATCAAACATGACACTAAGAAACCCGACAGCAACATGAGAACTCACCATCGCATGTGGTCGTATCCTTGGGTCCGCTAGCGTTGAGGCTAGCATCGCCCCCCATTGTGTATGGCGCCTCTAGAGATAGCGATGGCGAATATCTTTCAGCTGTGAAGCCAAAGCCGAAGCTGAGTTAGCTGACGCACAGATGTGATCATCTTCTGGGCGTGCGAACCATCTTTGTTCACCCTGTCCGGGAAGACAAAAGGCAGCCTGGTATAGTATGCGTGTTGTTTAGGCGCTCCGCGCGGTAACGCGGGGGCCCGGCAGCCGCTTGTGGCATATCAGCTGCCTTGCCGGAAGGTCGGCAAAGGCGCTGGCCGGGCCCGGCATTTGAAGTTGTCGACAAGGCGATGCGCTACGTCGGCCGTCATCCTGGCGGGGAGAAGAAGGAGTGGTTAGCACTTGTGTCTTGATATAGTGGTGAAAAATATAACGGGTGGGGTGTCGTGTAGCGGTGGGCCACTGGGCTGGGATGGGAGGTAGAGAAGTGGCCTTTCGAGCAACCTTGCTTGACAGTCAAATCAAGCTCTTAATCAGGTTGGCCTCAGGTTTGTGGTAGCGTTCAATGTTGCCTCTATCGGACAACCTCGCCCCGTTGGAAGGACATGGGATCACAACAACTGTTTGTGTGGTGTACTGCCTCAACTTGGGATCGAGTGGTGGGTTTACTCACTTGTTTTGTGATGGTATAGCAGAAACTCAAAATGGCAGCGGGAACATCATGATGAGCGTCTTGAGAGAGTGCTCTTCTTGGTGTCAATAATGTGTCAGAACTTCATTTCCAAGATCGAAGCGGAAGGAGTTGAACATAAACTGATCAAGACCATCGTCGTCTTGATTCGAACGCGAAGAAAAGGAACCCAAGGAAACTGAATCAGGAAACGTCAACCTGGCTTACCTCTGACTTCCATCAGCGATGATGATCAAACGGAGGTTGATCGGGCAGGACATGGAGAGAATGTCATTGTTTGGTCCCGCTGGTGGCACAGCTTGGGATGGAGGACTTGAGCGGGAGAAGAGTGATGGGATGATGGAGAAGAAATGTGGAAGAGAGGAGAAAGGGAAGAAGACGAGGATTAAGTACATGGCGGGAAACAGAGCATGGGAGGGGAATTCTTTCTGCCTCCCGCACAAACTCAAACGCAGGGCCAGTACCGGGAAGCATGACTTCAAACGCTTGCCGTCGGATAAGGGCAATCTGAGTGGAAGGCTTAACAAAAGGCGAGGCGGGGGAGTCTTGGGAGGAAGGAACGAGAAACAGAGGAGACATTGGCCTCGCACTCAGGACCTCAAACTGCCAGGTGTGCCCTGGTGCCTGCCAGTAACGTGGAGGCTTGGTAGTCCGAGTCCCTGTAGACACCCATGGTCTCGAGCGCTTGAGGTTGGCGAACCAGAGGGGGGCTTGACAAGAGGTAAATCCGTCGAGGACATGGAAGGAAGCAGGCGAATGGCGAAGAAAGTCCTCCCAACTACCTATTGAATTCAAGTTGCCAGGTGTGCCCTTGTTGCCTGGTAGGAGCAGGCCTGGTCAAGAGATCGGAGTTATTGCATGGCCTCGAAACGATCTGAAGCTTGGCAAATAAGATGAGGGCGTGACGTACAGAGGCGAGGCTTGGGAGGAAGGAACAAGGAGGAGGGAGATAAACCTCGACGTTGGACACTTGAGGTGCCCGGCGTGCCTTAGTGCCTGGCAGTAACACTCAGCAGAGGGAGTGGTCCGGGTCTCCTTGTCCCCTCGTCCTGTCTACTTCCGTTCAAGCCGTGCTCCTCGAGTCATATTTCCTTCTTGACCAAACCCGAAATGAAGAAACAACGAGTTCCTCCACGATTTTCGACACTTCCAGTTGCTTCCGGGCCCCAACAGCTCTCGTCAACCACCCAAATTGGCATTCAAGCCACACACGAATCCTTGTACTTAAATTCGAGGGTTCCTCACCCCCGCCTCTTTTCCCCCTCTGCTTCTTTGTTTTCGTCTTCATCTTCATCTTCATCTTCATCGTCATCGCCATCGTCATCGTCATCGTCATCGCCGTTGTCGTCATCATCTTCTTCTCCAATCAACAAGTTCATCACCACTTCCGGTGCCTCGCTGTCTGCGTTCACTCCGTTCAATTTCCATCACTTCGACACAATCCCCCACCTGCTCAAGGTGATTTTGATCTCCTCCATCCCTCTGAAAATGTGTGCTACCTTAACAACAAGTCAGTACACGGAGCGGGCCGGCGGCTATGAAGGTCCTGCCTACCGCGGCACGGCCTCCGCGCCCGCTCCACATTGTCCTCGACTGAAAACAACACCCGAGTATCTCGACAAGCCCGGCTTGCGTCTCTGCGACTCCGGTAGGTACCTACTTTCCTCTACTGCTCCGTGTCACACTTGACACAATTGGTTCCCGTTCCAATTTGATCCCATATATGTACAAAAGTTTCCATCCTCTTTGAGAGAGTCAAGCACTTTCTTCGCTCACACATCCAGAGTACAATGACCCGTCATCTTCCTTTGTTAGAAGCTAACACTGGCTTCGAAACTGCAGAAAAAATCCGGGGCCCAACGAGGCTATCTTCGCCGACTTCGCCGGTCGGTGCTAGGGCCGCCGTACAGTCCATCCTCAACGCCGATTTGGTCGCCTGGGGCCTTAAACTTTATGAGTACCACCTACCAGTGTCGGAATATGTCATGGGCTGGAAAAGGCGACAACGAAAAGGGCTTGATTCTGGAGTTGTCGAACGGAAGAGGAGAAACGAAAACCAGGGCAGCCTAAATATCTGGAAGGGAATGCCGGGGAATGGGCGGCCCAGAGCACGGAATTCCAACAGGATATCATCGAAGATGATAGGTATTCGAGCGCAATTCCATGGCCAGCAGTTTCAACTTTGGCATGTCTTGTTCCGGTGGCAGACCGTAGGGAGCCACGCGATAAAAACACTCCATGAACTGGAACTTGGTTTCCTTTGCAGGTTGAGGATATCATTCAAGATGATCTTCGAGCGAGATTCAATGGCCAGCAGCTTCAACTTCGGCATGTCTTGTTCGGTGGCAGACCGTACCTGTGGGGAGCCACGCGGTAACAACACTCCATGGACTGGAACTTGGTTTCTTCGTTTGCAGATGAAATGGGTTAGCATAGGTGCCTAGGTAGAGGTAGGTATCTCTAGGTAGGTAGGTAGGTAGGTGGGTAGCTAGAAGTAGTGTACAGGTAGCGGAATGGGAATATCGGCAATTTCAGTGCCTTCCAATCCTTGTCATTCTGGACCTCCTCCGTGTTCGTTCGTAAACATTCCTACTATTAGCTCCTAGACATGCTATTTGGTGTGGTTGGCGTTTTCTCCCGCACAGTTACCTCTATCCAGGGGCATTCGTGGACTCTGTCCAACATTTTGTCTAACCGTACTTAGGTGGGTGTTTGTCTGTCCGTCTCTCGTACCCAGAGGGAATTGCCGACGTCTGCAACGCGAATGTCTCGCCCAGCTAGGCTGACCTCCCGTTTCTTAGGGCTGACTCTTGACGAGGACCCTAATTCCGACACAGGGGTAGGTACGAAGTAGACTGGCAGCTTGAGACCAAGGTAGTACCTAAACCGCAACGGAAATTGAACTGAGTTAGACGCCTGTTTGCATACCTCTAGACATGTAAGAACTAATCGGGTGACACCATCCTTGCAATCCGTGAATTAAAGCGGAGCTCATCAACAAGTGACTGCCTCGAGGTTGCCACAACATCACGACCAAATTTTTAGGTAGAGGTAGCCTTCCGCCACTTGCAGCCTTCCTTCTTGTCGAAGAACTTTATGTCAATCCAGATACCTCTACGATGCAGATGGGTGGAGGACGGGCACTGGAGGAGGATGTTAAATACATCTAGGTAAGGTTGGAAGAGGATAAGGAGGGTGGTGGAGGAGAGGTAGAGGGACATGGCAGAGATGGAAGGGAGGGAGGGGACGATTTATAGCGGATGATGGAGGCATGGAGGTTCAAGGGGAGGAAGGGGGACGTGGAAGGGGATGAGGAGAGTGAGAGGGAGAAGGAGGGGAAAAGAGATGTAGCGTTGGGAAGACGAGAAGAGACTTGGACAAGGACGGGAGTCTTCGGGACTTGAATTGATCCCGGCGTTCGTACCTCTAGGCGTTCGAAGGCGTTTCTGGGGTGGTTTGGCACCTATTTATCCTGCCATCGGCCAGTAACGGACGGGAGGAAGAAAACTTCAAGGGACGGAGTGGAGGAGCAGTCTTCGAATCAAATGATAGAGGTACTTACTTACCTCTAGGGCCGTGTTCGTTGTGGCAGTAGTGCAGTAAGGGGATCTCTTCTAACCCTAACCCAAAGCTTTTCTGCCACCAAAAGAATGCTTCCGTTACTGTACTACTGCCGGAACGAACACGGCCTAGGTATACCTGAATCGAGTTGACTCGAGAAATTTTGGCCAGCCAGAACCGTATTATAATGTGTTCTATGCCCCTTGTATTGGTCGAAAACCGGTTCAGCCATACTGCTGTGGACTTGGATGTCTTTTGTGTCCCAAGGTGATGTTTTGCCCGCTGTCGTTATTGATTTGGGCGGAGATAGGGCTCTTATAGAGGTGGTCGTTGTTGAGGAGATCTCCAGAAGAGGGGAAGGACAAAGAGTGAGCCAGAGCTAGGGCAGAGGTACCTCTATGGTTTTGACTGACAGCTGCACTGCCTCCTCCAGCGTCTTGTTGCGCCTTATAAGACCAGGGCAGGCTCTTGCACACTCTTTCTTCTTCCGTCTCTTGTAATCTGTGAAAGTGAATTAGCAAACAAATCCAAAGTGACAGCAAGGTGAAACTTTGGTCCTTTTAGTGAAGAGAACACATTAACATTCACCTTAACATTCACAAGAGCGTCAAATCACCAAGTGGAACATTCAAGCGCAGCCCAGAACCAGATCAATTAATCACCCAGGGTATCAACCTTGAACTCCAGAAAAAAAACCGTTCATCCCGAACCCAAATTCTTCTTCTCAGTGAAAACTTCAAACCAAAGACCACTAGCATTGAAATCCCAGAATATCATCAGCGCCTCCCAACGCGTCATGATAGTATGGCATGTTCCAGCCTGTAGACCTTTGTGAGAAGCTTCCAAAACCACGCAAAAGCCGGGCCCCTTTTGAACCTAGAAGCGACCGACATCTTACCCCCTCCAGTCAACACCGTAGAGGTACATGACCCAAAGTTAGGTACCTACCTCTACCATCCCCAGCAACATTCCATTGTCACCACCATCTCAAAACTCTCCACCTCTCTTGGGCGCGAGCTTGCCTTGCTGGAGCACACCCAAAGACCACTTCATCTGACGCCATCAAAGTTCCGGATCCTATGCCTCACCTCCCCTACTCCATCCCCCTCAAGGGACGAAGTTGCCCAACACGTTTGCCCCAGGTCTTTGGAAACGCTTTTTTAACCCATACTTCGCTTCACCCGGGACAATTTCTGGGAGCGGAAATCAAAGACTTTGCCCGTGAACTTCCTCGCCCTGGGTCTTTGGGGAGTGCTAAAGTTGCCTCTTCACGTTGCTCCAGGTCTTAAGGAGTCGTTTTTTCAGCCCGTTATACGCCGAGTCCCAGGTCTTTGGGGGCGATGGTTGCCTGTTTGCAGCACTTGAATCCAAGGTCTTGAGGAGCACTGTGATTGCCCTTGTATCGCTGGTCCCGGGACGATGGGGGCGATTCTTGTAGACCCAGCTGACGCTGGAGTCCTACAAGTCCCTGCGGAGCAAGGGCGTCTCGTCTTCGCTTTCACTGTCCTCACCCGAAGACGAGGCAGCGGAGGAACCGCGTGAAGGAGGGCGGAAGGCATGTTCGACAGACGCGGCACTTGCGATTGCAGCGTCATCGTCAGGACCAAATGCGGACGAGGAAGGAGAGGGGTCGGCAACGACGGCAGTCGAAACAGGAGCCGGAGGAAGAGGACGAGTCTGGGCTGGGGCTGAGCCACCAGCAGTGCCAGACAATGACATCTGTACCAGGGCATCCTGGGCCTTCTTCAAATCACCCTGGCTGACCGAGGTCAGAGACCTCTGTCTCCTCTTGCTGCTCTTGGGAGGAATGGGCGGCGGCGGGCCATCAGTAGCGGCAGCGGCCTGGCGATCTCTCTCCTCGAGCTCCAGCAGAGCCTCGCGAGCCTCCTGTCTCTTGGCGCGCTCAAAGTTCTCTGGGCCGAGGACGCACTGGCGGCGCACCACGGCGACGAAAGCCAGCATGATCTGCTCGATGCGCTCGTAGAAGGTCATGCCAAAGGCGCGGACGACGACGGCGTTGAGCCGGTTGCCCAGCTGAGCGTATACGGGCTCCAGTTTGCTCTGGAACTCGTCCCACCGCTTCTTCTCCAGATCGCGGGCCCGGCGCCAGTCTGCCTTCTCCTGGTCCGACAAGTGTTTCTGCCTCTGGGAGAAGTGGTCGAACACCTGGTTCTTCCACTCGTTCCGCCACAGCTCCTCAAGTTGCCGAATCCGCCGCGAGTGGTGCATGGGGCAGCACATGGCCAGGTGCTGGGGGATGACCATGACTTCTTCGCACATCTCACCGGTCCGTTGGGCGCGCTGGCACGGTGCCCATTGAGGGAGAATGGGGTCGTCGTCGGTGAGCTTGTTGATCTTGCCCTTGCAACCACCGTGCTGGTGGTGGCAGTGCCAGTGCTGGTCGATGCGGATGCACATCTTGGTTGCCGACGGGGAGGTAGAGGAGATTGGGCTTGGGAGTAGGAGGGGCTGACTTCCTGGTGAGAAGTCTGGGGAGCAGCAGTGGTGGAGAGACGGGACAGTCCTTGTCTCCGTCGGAGAGGAGGAGACGGGCGAGACAAAACTCGGGCTAGATGTCGAGCTTGTTTGTGGCGCGAGGAGGGACCGACGGAGAGTCAGGAGCAGCAGTTGAGGACGAGAACGAGAAGGACTTCGGGTGCTAGGGAAGGTTGACGCCCTTGCTGAAGGTAAGGTCGTCAAGGAAGTTCCCTCTTGGAGTGAGAGGGAAAAGCGAGGTGGCTGTGAGGCGTTAGTGATCTGACAAGAGAGAGGCAAAGAAGCTGGTAATCTTACTTTTGCGGTTTGGCGTCTTCCGCCGAGAGACGAGCTCAGAGAGGTAAGGCCGGGGAAGTTCTTTCTTGATCGAGGGAGGCGGCCAGAGAACCCGGAAAAGGGACAAAGTCGTAGCGAGCTGGGCGGGCAGAGACTTGTAGCTTGGGAGGATCTTCAAATGGTATGAAGTAAAAGAGAGCGCACTGGTACTGCTGATGATTGCTTTGACTTTGGACTTCTTCGCTCAGAGCTTGCTGGTGGGATAATACCTGGAGAAGAAAAGAGGAAGAAGAGGGAAGGAAATCGTGGGCCCGGGCAAGGTTTTATGGAGGGGCAAGTTGAGGATGATCCACGATTCTATTGTGAGAGCGCTGGAACGAGCCTGCTGTACTTTCAAATCATCCCGTCTTTTGACGGCTGGTTGCCTTGGGATTTGTACCAAATGGACGTCATCAGGACAACAGAAAGGAAAAATCGAGCCACTAGCCCTTGGCATATCTGGGTCTCGAACTTGGAGAAGAGACGAAAGACGCGACGAGATAACGAAGAATGGAGAAGCTACGGTCTAGTGTCCCCTCAGGGCAAACGCCGTCTTGAAGTTGGAAGGAGCGGCTACAAGATGACGGGGTGGTCTGAAGAATTACGTCTCGGTCCCGGACCGCGGGGCTTCGGGGCTCGCAGGCAGATTCTCATGGTCATTGCTCTTGAGTTCCTGAACGGTTTCATCAAACTTTTAGTTTGGATACGGAGACAGCTTTCTGGCGAAGAACCCGAACTGAAGAGTCCAAGTCTGGCATATTGCTGCTATCATTAGGTAGGTACCTACTCGAGTCCCAAACTCGGGCATACCTACCTCTACGTTCAAATATTGTCCTGGCAATCATGTGGAATAAAGCACACAGTCCTTTGCACACATTGCTTAGAGGAATTTGTATCTGAACCAGCCATAGAGTGTCAATTCCTCGTTTTTCTGTGCTTCACAACTCATCTTGACTTGCGCCAACTTTGTGCTGGCCACTTCCACCATTCTTCCTCGAAGCAAGACACTGTGGCTTTGCGCCCGGACTTTCGTCTCAACTCCAGAATTTCCCGGCCATCCAGAATCTTGCGAGGTATACAAATCCAGGCCCTCTTCATTGAGGCTAGAGAAAGCAAGCATCCGATCACGGGCAGTCTTCATACTCGGACCTTATCCCTGCTGCGGCGGACTGGGCGAGACAGACACTCGACGATTTGCCCCACCTACCTCTAAGTGGTGAAAAGTACAATGTAGGTATCACATTATGTTGAACAGCTTGGAATAAGGCGTCGAAGTTTCATCTCTACTGCTATAATTGTCCGAGCCTTTCTTTCTGGAATTTCTACTGGGAGTCATTAGGGGCAGGGAAAAGGAATGTGGTCATCTGCAAGAGGGCAAAGGAGCCCGTGCAGGAGAGGCGAGATGTGGATGTACAATCCACGGCAGGCTGGAAATTTGGTTCAAACTAATCTTTCGTCTGTACTCCTTTGGGGCAGCCTCCAGTTGTTGAGTTGTGCGGCTGGGTGCCCCTGCCTGGAGCTTGATGCTGGGTGAGGCACGAGTCAGCTGGACTTTGAGCGCAGGGAAGAACACTTCGAGTCCTCCTACACGAGATATCACGTACAGTGGTAGTGATTTGTTCCATGTCTCTAGAATTGACTAGAGGTAGAGGTGCCTCTAGAGTACTACATGTATCAAGTGACCACAACCGCACGGCTGCGTCTTCTCAACACAAATTCCGAGTTTTCTCTCTTTCGTAGAGCCCAGACGTAGTCTTCCAAATCCCAAGCCGACTGTTCCGGACTGTGTGCCTCCCCCCGCATCCTGTACATCCTCACTTTACGTTCAAACACTTTTACAAACCATGATGGAAGCCCTTCCCTCCAACAGAAACGGAGCAAAAGACTTCCCTTTTCGTCTTCAAATGACTTGTTGTCCTAACTTCTATATCGGTCTTGTAAATGGTCCGAAGTCTTGGAGTTTTGTTCCTCTGTCTCGTCTCCATCTGCTGCTGAAACAAAGAGCAAACAATCCTCCCGTTTCCTGGGTTACGACCGCTTGTTTTCCTCCTAGTGAGACCGCCGTGTTTGCTCAAGTGACCTAGACTTTGCCATGAGATGGAAAAGGGATGAATACCTACCTCTACATGAGAAAAGGAAAGGGAAAGAGAAAGAGAGAAAGAATGAAAGGAATAAGAGAGCGAACGAAGACGAAAAACCCAAATAACCTAAATCATACAAGACAGTCCAGTGTCCCCCTCTCATATTTCTCCACCACAATGCCACCTATCCTCGTCCACCAAGTGTTGAATTCCGAAAGCGGATAGTTTCAGACAAAAGGGACCCAAACAAGAAGCTGCGGGAGCCAGTGCTCGCCCGCTAAAAGTATTCTGGGAGCCGCGCGCCAGGTGCTCAAATTGATCTTGTTGACTGGGTCGGTGTATTGCTCGTTGATCTTCTGGGCGGAGCATCAAGTTGCTGAAGATCTTTCTTGAGGACTCCCGTCTCGGGGGTAATCTTTTCGGGAGGTCGAGAACAGGGTGAGATTCTCATCGCTAGATTCAATGTCGAGAGAGCCTACGTTGCATCCAAATCGTCAGCGAGTGCATGGACATCGTAATGGACGGAGTCAGTTTTTGCAGTAAATAGAGGTAGGTACCTTGTTCGAAGTCGGCGACGGGCCACCGTCAAGGTGGTTGGAGGGCTGCATGTGCATTTCTTTCTCCATATCCTGCTTTGGGTCCAGAGGCATCCTCTTAACAGGGCAGTCAGCTGAAGTTGTGTCGGGGGGCAAAGGGCTGATGCGGGGCGGATCCGGTTGAGCGTACCTCGAGACGCCAAATAGTCTCGGCCAATGGAGTGCTCGAGGGTAGTAGCGATGCCATTGGCGCAGGCGTGTTGTTCTTCCGGCGCTGCTCAGATGGTGTATTTGGTCAGAAATGCACATGCACAACCATCAGGTCAGGATGGAACAGCGATGTTTGATAGCATGGAATGAAGTTGACAAAGTTCCATTGTGATCGCGGAAGGACAAAGGATGTTGGAAGTTTGAAAGAAACATTGATCCAGAAATTCCACAGGCGCAGAGACAGTAGAGGAAAAGAGTCAGGATTTCTTACCTCGAGGCCGAGTCTGCCTGATGGGTTGCCGACGGGACACTTGCGACGCCGGAGAGAATGTCGGCAACCCATCAGACGAAGATGGCAGGAGGCTCCTCTTGTGGTGATGAAGTTCTGAAGGCTTGGAAGCAAAGAAGGCATATGATGAAGGAAAGCGGGACGAGCGAAGGGGCTGGAAGAAGGGGCCCTTATGTCTGCCAGCAGGGTCTCTCAGAGCTGAGAGCCCAGGGGCACGAAGGAAAGAACTCGACCAACCAAGTCGTTACCGTACAGATGTACCTTGGCCAAGTATCTCCCTCCTTCCCGTTCACCCTCTTAAAGAAGATCTTCAAAAACAGCCCAGAGATGTGCCTTGCTCTACCAGCAGGGATAGCATGGAGAGGTGGGGTGTATCCAGTCGATCTTCGGTCCCGGAGCAAGTCTTCCAGAATCCGGGGCAGGCACGCAGGACAAACAGAGATCGAACTTGATGGTCAGCTGTTTGTTTCCAAAAGAAAAGAAGGGGAAGTCATAGTCACGGTAAGGTACCTGAGGTACCTCTAGGTACCTGCTGGAAAAGCCTGCCCGTGATTGAAACCCAAAATCCGCTCTTTTTCCCTCCTCGCCTTTTCTTCCGTCTCTCTTCCTCTTTCACCCAACATCAAAGTGAACTTCCTTTTGACGGACTTCCATCCCAACTCAATTTCTTACAATGCTCTTCCACTTGTCCCGCGATCCCAAGGCCAAGTGAGAGCACTTTTGGGCTTTGCAGTGCCCATCTAATGGCTCTTGGTGATCGTCTCTCTGACCCTCAAACACAAACACGCATCTCCAAACAACACCCCGTCGGCCTTTGGGCAGGTGACGTCGATGCCGATGGCGACGAAGACAGCGGTGACGGCTTCACCTTCCGCATGAAGATGTCTTCCGCCGAGCCATGGTTCAGCCGAGCCTACCTAGAATCTCCGGTGTTTTTTTGGGGGGAGCCCGTAAGTACGTCCCCTCCCGTAAGCCCAAACTGCCCGGTATCGTGCATGTGCCTGACCAAGCCTTCAGGAGGTAGCACCGGCGCCGCCGGCTTGACTTTCTCGAGTTGTTCGTTCTTGGCCGTCCAGGACTCCGGGACGGGTGAACTTTTCTTGGGACCCGATCAGTTTATTGATGCCGTGGCTCCTGCAATCGCTTCTTCGTAAGTACCTCTAGGTGCTCGCTTTCTTTTCCAACCCATTGGTCTTCATGTTCGGTTTTCTTCAGTCTGTCATCACGTTGCTAATGCCACTTTTTGTCTTGCTCTAGGCCGCTATACACCGACCCGGTGAACAAGAAACTAGAGGAGGACTTGCGTGACGGTGCCCGACTTCCTTCAATTCAACGTGCTCCTCGACATCCGCCACAAGTTCCCCAATCCGGGGTTTGATCATCTTTCATACAAGAAGTGCCTTGAGATAGAGGTACCTTATGACACGGGACTTCCCCCTGGGAAATCGCTGGGGACCCGATGGGAAGCCACTGCCTTGTGCCCACAGGCATGGGCTACTACACATAAGGCCTGTCAACGGGGCCTCAAGCTCCCTTGAGACTCAGATAGAATCATCATTGTTAGAATCCATTGATTGAGAGCTACGCTGGTTTCCAAGGGCACGCATCACCTTCCATACCTAGAGGTAGACGTAAATCAAGCAAGACATCTTACCACCACGTTCGTCGTCTCTCACCCGTGCTCACCTTCTCCGCTGTAGAGTACACCACATCACACAACTCCCCAAACTCATCAAACAGGGGCATTCAACAACCAACACGTACAGCCCTAACAGCTACTACGGATTCCTCGATCCGAATGTGAATTTTTTGACTATGCTCCCGAATGTCTCGCTTTCGGCATTCATGTGCGATTCTTTGGCCCTGGAATAGAAGTCCTCCACTTTCTTCTTTGCAGTGAACAAGTTCCTAACAGGCCACGTTTTGGCGCTTTGTACAGGACGCTCCGTTGTAGGCTCTTTGGACTTCTTACTTGAAGTAAAGGTATCATAGAAGTATGACTTTGTTCTTGCCGGCCATGTTGAGTGTGTTGTCGATGGCTCTTTGGCAGAACGTAAAGGCTGCAAGTCCTCTCTGGCGAGAACATAAAGCTTCTCGAAGGCTAGCCGCGCTTCAGCTCGCTTCCTTGCTGCCTCCTCCTCAGTTTGCTTTGCTGCCCGGGCCTGCTCCCCAAATCGTCTATTGAAATCCCTAGGGTCCAGATCATAGAGGTAGTCTGGATCTCCCCTTTTCCTTGCGAGAAACAAGTTTTTGTTCCTCCAGCGGATATTGTCCATCGTTTTGGTGTGCTTTCCTTCTTCTGGATTTGCGTCAAGATGTGCGATATCTTGATCAACGAGGGTACCTCCAACAACCATCGCAAGCTCACATGTTGTCTCTGATGTCCATTGTCTGTCTCCACCCATGCCCGGTCCGCCAATGGAGATGATCGCATCGGCCCGCTGCGAAAATCCGCCTTGGAAGGCACTCTCGAACAAGCCACCGTGTGCATTGAACGTGGCCGAAACAGAGCCGTGGCTGGTGCTAGGTGTTGAGGAGTTCGGAGCCTGAAATGTTTGAGCTGGAAAAAGTGCCGAGGTAAAGGTATTTGGGCGACTTTGGGGCACTGGTTTCGTGATGAACCAGCGATCGAAGGTCTTGTGCTTGTTAGAGGGATTCTCATCTTTGCCAGTAGATCTATCCCCCTTCAACCTAGCAAGGTACTCATCATCCGCAGCATCTCGAGCCTCTCTCCCAGAGTCGGAGTCGTGTATATCGTCGTCTTCGTTGTATTCGTTGTCCTTGTCGCCCTCGTCATCGTCTTCGGTAGACCCGGGATACAAAATTTGGCTGTCGGCCAAGCGGTTGAATATCGCCAGGGAGGCACTCAAGCGATGGGGTCTGCAGGAGTTGCTGGAGGTAGATGAAGGAGTGGGCTGGACTGTCATTGTTGTCTTGGTAGAGGTGGCCTTATTCTGGGTGGACATCTCAGCAGACTTTTTGGCTAACTGAAGCCTCGATTCGATGATGGGGGAGGCACCACTATTGAGCTCCTTGCTACCTCTAGAGCTAAAAAGGCCAGGCGACGATGCCTTCTCGCTGCGTTCGTTTGCCATAATGAGAAGGTCGAAGTCAACTCGATCAAGAGATATAGAGGTAGGTGGTACACTCGATGATCAACCGAACTGGTAGGCATCTACACAGAAGACGATGAGACCTCAGCCCAGTGATGTGCTTGGTGGGCATCACCATATTTATAGATTGAGGTAGACACTCCATTCACCACGTGTCATGAAGAAGAACTCTGTCATTCATCATCATTTCAGTGCTCGGAGTGCAGCGGGCATTATCGGGCAGATATTAGAAGCTGCAGCACCACTGTTTTAATGGATTCTGCGGTACATTGGTGCAGACGGGAAACATGCAATGCACGTTCAACGAATTTACAAGTAAACACCGTGAACCGCCGGGCCGTACCGCAAAGACTCGGGGTATTGGTTTTGTTCCAGGGAAATCAAGCATGGAGGTGGTTCTGGAGGTAGAGGTACTGCAACATTTATGCCGGCCAGAAAACGTCTGCACGACGGTGATCCAGCGTCGTCAAAAAAGATGTAGGACTGAGGAAAGCCTGAAACACTCGAAGAACTCGAATTTACAGTGCTTCGGAGTAGCATATGTGTCCTCTACTCTTTTTTGTGGGCATGAAACGCACGTATTCTGGCATGGCTCTACTGCGTGTAGATGTACCTTCATGCGAGCATGTGTTAATATGTCTGGGTAATCTTCTGGGCTGGGACGTCAAAACGTACGCCTCGAGTCTTCGCGGATCATTTTTTTTTTCGAGCATTGCCTGCAGTAGATGATCGTTCTGATGCACAAGATAGCTGGCAGCAAAGTGAAGACGACTGCCACTCTTCTCTTTCTCCTGTCACTTGTTTGCTACACCTTTGTTGTCTGTCACTCACGTTCGTTTCCCTTGCCCATTAGTCTACCTCTATCGTTCTTGCCTTTTCCATTCGCCTTGATTGACTTTCAACGGACCGAGAAAGGAATTTGAGGGTGGTGGGGCCTCAAATGGGCGTCGGCAGGACCAGGGAGGGGCTAGGTTGTTGTAACATGAGATTGAGGCGATGATGGGAGCAATGTGATCGACCAGGCTCATCGATCGCGGTTGGGCAGGCACCCGCCCGTTTCGAGCCTTCCTTCTCTTGATGGGAGAGGTGGAGGTGATAAAATGGTGATAACTCAGTTCCCTTCCTTTCGGTGGTTGTACCTAAGCAACTCCACGAGGAAGACCGGGAGTGCTTTTCTCTTCATGTTTCCAGTCGAGAAAAACAGCTCGAAACTTCGGGGCAAATTACCAGCAGTCATCAAGGTACGGGCAACTCCTCACGGCCGACTTCCGGCTAAGAAGCCAGAGTTGCTCCGGAACTTGCGGAGGGGTGTGAAACTGCTTCCTAGAGGTACTCTGGAGGTTCAGCCAGGAAGCAGAGGTGGCTCTTTCCAATTTTTTGGGAGTGGAGGACTCAACCGCACAAGGGACGCATGACGCGATCCATGAATTTCAGCCGATCCACCGCCAGATCTGATGCTCATCAAGTCAGGAGTCTTTGATTGGGCGCCTTCTCCTTCTCGAACTCTCCATGTCTTCCGCTCGACGTCTGGGACTTTTGGCTGCCTGCCCCTTAAATTTACCCGGGATTCCAGAACTCGCGCCTTCCTGGTTCTCTCCATGTTCCCTGCTGGCGACCGCTGCTCAGGCTCCCATGAATACCTACAAGCCGTTCTGGACTGCTGGATCAGATCGGGCGGTCTTTGCGAAGACTGTCATCCAAGGGTGTATCCTCGATCTATTGAGCTTCCAGGTTTCCCATTATTGCTTCTTAATTTCCCATTCTTCCATTGCCCATGGACACTGCCTGATTTCTCTGAGTCCGCAGCTGCCCCTTGTTCACTTTCGAGTAAGTAGCAAAAAATCCAGCTGGACTTTGCGAGCACCTCTACGGTTCTGCGGTGTAATTCTGGCATGATCGAATAACTCGTCCTCCTGCTCCCTGTGGTAAATCTGGGTTCGCACTTTCCTAGCACTCTCTTGCAATCTTTCGATCTTGGGATTCGTGATCAACTTCAATTCTCGTGACTGTGACTGCCAGTGACTGCCCAAACGCATGTTCCCGTCACCGGGTACCTTTACGGCTCATTTTCTCCGCTTCTAAGGGCTTATCAACCTGTAACTTCCCGTCTACCTGCTTCTTGTAACTCCAAAGGGCTCTCGTGACTTCCAATTTGATTTTGATGCTCGAGTCTTTCGCCGTCATTGCGATGTGAAACCTCCAGTTCTTGCCTGCAGAGAAGTGACTTTGAGGTTGATCATCAGGTGCGAGGGTCGACATCGCGGCCTCGCGGGCGGCGGCACGTCCCTCGGCCATCTCGGTGGCGTGGCGTGAAGAAGATGTCGGGAGTCACGCTCCCCTCAAGGGCAAAGACGTGACCCTCATGTGGTAGGCACCTGCCTCGAGTGCTCTGAGCGAAGAAACTTTGCGTTCCTTCTGATGGACGAGTGTCTCCCATCATGGTGGCTCTGTGCCTCCCCTGAAAAGCATAAAGGGCCATCGCTGCTCACATCTTTCTGACTTCGACTTTCCCACTCTAGTCACACACGAAGCACGTCTGCAACCCCAGTGCCCACAGTGCCCCAGAGCCACTCTTTCTCAAGAAGTGTGAGTGCAAGCAACATGGTCCATCCACGTTGTCATCGCCTTCCTTCTTTGCTGACACCAGATCTTCAGCTTCACCCATCACACAGCGCCTCCAACTCTCCTCCCAAGGCCCCCAGTCCCCCGGTGCCCTCAAGAACTGTGAGTCCATCCACTGCCTGAACATCCACCGTTGCCATTTCCTTCCATTCTAACCTAACTTGTCTTTTTGCCAGCACAATGACCGAAAAGACCAACGGTGCGAGGGTTGGCGCCGCCGCCGCTGCCGCCACCACCACCGGCAGCAGCAGCAGCAGCAGCAAGAACAACAACAGCAGCAGCAGCAGCACCACCACCACCACCACCACCACGAGGGGCACCAGCCCCAGCACCAACAACACCACCAGCAGCAACAGCAGCAACAGCAAGAGCAGCGGTGGGGGTGGAGGAGAAGGCCTAGACTACAACAGGTGGACAAGGGGCGCCTGGTTCGAGTAATGAACACCATTTTGGCTTCCTCCGTGTTTTTGTTTCTGTTGTGCTTCCACTTTTGCCGTGACTTGCCTCCATCTCATGTGTCTTTCGCCGTAACCTATCTGGTGATTTCCACTTGCCTGCCACCCAACTTGCTCTCCAGCAATTCAATCGTATTTGCTTTCCGCCGTAGAGGTACCTAGTAGAAGTGTCTTGCTTTCCGTCCTGCTCTGTGACGTAACATGGAACCGACTGGACGTGGAAGGATGCCTGGGGTTTTGCTCCTGCGTCTCTCGTTCCACCAACGCTCTTGCCAGCCCGGAAGACAGCATTGGATGTACACTGACTTCTCCATCCGTCGCTCATTTCCCACGCACGCAGATAAAAGCCCCGCGGTCCCCGCCTCTCTCTAATCTCTTCTCTAATCCTCGCCCAACGCGCACTCTTTTTTTCTCTCTCAGAATCAGTTCACATCTTCCTGGCAACCGTCAAGCAAATCATTTCTCTCCCAGCGATACACGCCCACACTGACACATGTCATCTTCTTCTCCAAGGCTCCCTTGCGTCACGGGGGTCCGCTCCTTGCTCAATTCACGATTCTTCGCCGCTCCGCTCTCTCTATTGCTCATGGCTTGGACATCCAAGGGCCAAGTCTTTACCTCATTCGCTACCTCTAGACGAGCAGCGAAGTCTGTAAGTACACCTCCATGACCATCAACATATCTGATTTCCGTTTGTTGTCTTTCTAGCACAGCGCCAACATTAACAGCAGAATCCAGAACCGGAAATGTGCTTCGCCCGGTAGCAGACTCTTTTTGCTCGCCCGTGGCCCCGCCGCTACCGCGCACACCTCTTCCGTTGCGATCACCTCCGCCAGCCCCTCCTCCAGGCGCACAGCCTAGCAAGCATTTCGACAACTCGATCGACTGCTTTAGAAAAGTCATTCGTGACGAGGGTTTCAGGGGTTTACTCAACCTCGCTGCCTCTCGTGGCAGCAACACAACACACCACCGTTGGGAGGGTAAGTCACTACGTCCCCAGTTTCTCCTCAGATTACCGTCTGGCATTGGATCCATGCTGATCTGACCTTGTGGCTCAATTGGATAGATAGAAACCGACAACGTACCCATCTGTATCGTCGGCAACAAGAGTGTTCCGAAACCGAACAACTCTAGAGACATGTCCGGCTTGACGTTTTTTTTATGTTGCTGTTGGCGAGATTGTGAGGGCGAGAAGGCCATCATTGGCGTAATGATAGAAACTTCGGAGCTGGACATCGTCGAGCGGTCGGGGAACGTTGGAGCTGGATGTCGTCAAACGGTCTGTTCTTCGTCTTCGTCTTCTTTTCCGTCTTCTTTTCTGTCTTCTTTTCTGTCTTCTTTTCTGTCTTCTTTTCTGTCTTCTTTTCTGTCTTCTTTTCTGTCTTCTTTTTCTTCGTCTTCGTCTTCTTCTTCGTCACCTCTGCGTCTTTCTCTTCGGGTCTGGAGCTGGAGGGTTCGATGGTTTCAGCGGTTACTTCTTGTAAGTAGTCCAGTCTTGGTAGAGGTGGAGATAGAGGTAATTTTGGAACCAACGGTGTTCGATGCCTTCTACTTCCTTGGATGTTTTGATCATGTTCGGGTGCCTCGAGGCCGGAATGAAAGTCTTCACTCGTTCCCAGTGTTGATAACGCATGTTGATTCACAATGAAGGTTGAGGTGTTCATTGCAGTGAGTTTTGGGAATCCAAATCTTTAAAATGCCGGGGCCCACAAGCCCGGCGCCTTGTGGCCCTCAAGGTGTTCGAGTTCCACCTCGGCAGCTGCATTAGCAAACTCCTAACGGTGCCTTGATTTACAATCACAGGTACCCTAATATGCCGGTATTCTTGAATATATGTATGCAGGCTGCAGAAAACTTCGAATGTGGGCGGGCATATTCTATTCAAAAATTGGACTTGCATGCATGTTCCGGCGAGCATAGAGGAATGCCTTAAGGTCAAGGCACTGGAAGCCCGTACCAGGACCAGGAAGTATAAGACGTAGCTCTAGTCTTTTGTGATTCTGTCTTCTTCTCCTTTTCTAACAATTTCGAAAAGACGTTCGTGTTCTATCTCTTTGCCCAAAACGACCTACCTTTCGCAACATCCGCCCAATCTTTTGCACATCTTTTCTACACCCACACCCACACACACACACCAATACGCCTTTTTCCCGGAGGAAGCAATACAATGGACGAACTGCTCAACATATTATTGAAGCTTGTAGTAATCCTGATGGCCATTTCGTGGGCGTTGGTGTTGGTTTTGCTTGCACGCATGCTCTTTGGTTTTCTCTTTGGAGGAGTAAACATTGAAGGCATCGATGTGAGAAATCTCATGGAAGTTCTAGATGTGGTACTCGAGGAACACCTTCTCTTGCCACTCCTTGAAGAAGGGGTGTGGTTCGGGGAAGAAGAGGTGTGGTTCGGGGTGGACGTTGCAGAAGCCCTACAACGGCAGTTGGGAGCGGTTGAACAGCAGGGTTTAGATCCTGATGAAGAGGCCCGAGGGGTAGTGCTTCTGCTGATTTTACAGCGTGGGCTGGCCCGTTGTGGAAACATTCGACCAATTCGATTCAAGATCTAGGTTTTGCAGTCGGATGTGGGCACGAGGATGAGCGGAATACCGACTCTGAGGGCGTGTGGCATTCGGGGCCATTTGATATCAAAACGGGGAAGGGTTAGGGTCGAATGTGGGATTTCCGGAAGTTGTGTTCTTGGCGGTTGGGTCCGCTTGTTCCGCTGATTACAATGATTGGCTCCATTCAGTGCAATTCGGGCCCGCTATCAACGTCGTCCCGTCCCGATCTCAAGTCCATGAGTACATCACGGCCATGCTCAAGCGTCGCATTCGGCTTCATTTTCGACGCACGGCTTCCGCTCTCTTTCAAGTCTCTGGGCTCTCTTTCCCGTCATTTACTGTCGCTTTCACAACAACGAAATCGTCGAATACACTCACCCAATTTCGCAAAATGTCGTCATCTTCCTCTCCGGAGCTTCAACCACCACCAGCGCCAACCACAACGCGCTGTCCAACAGGTCCTGTTCCTTTCCTCGAATACCCATCACCCAACACCACAAGTACCAGCAGCAACAGCAGCAGCAACAGCAGCAGCAACAACACAACAAGACCAAAGCGCTACCTCCTCTTCTTCATCTCCGGCAACCCCGGTCTAATCGACTACTACGCCCCCTTCTTCACGCACCTGCGCTCCCTCCTCAACGAACTCGAATCCAAGTCCGCCGCCTCCAGCTCTCCAGGACACCAACAACCCATCACCTTCCACATCTACGGGCAAAACCTCATAGGCTTCTCCGACTCTGACCACGCGCCTTTTGTACCAGGGTCCCCAGACACGGAACCCTTCGTGCTGGAAGAACAGATTTCCCACCTTTACGACTCCCTCGTCTCCCTGAACGAAACTGAAGGACCCTTCGACGAAATCATTCTGGCCGGCCACTCCGTCGGCAGCTTTCTATCTCTCGAAATCTTGCATCGCTCCCTTTCCTCATCTCAACCCTCATCTCTCAAACTGCTACCAATAACAACCGCCCTCCTCCTCTTCCCCACCATCCACCAGATGCACCTCTCCCCTTCCGGCTTACGCCTCAGTCGTATCCGGTCCATCCCCTTCCTCGACCAGTACACGCACGTGCTAGCCAAGTCCGTTGTCGATCTCGTGCCGCGGTTTGCGCTGCGGTGGATCACGCGAAACGTACTAGGCATGTCTGAGCACGGAAGCGAGGTTACTACGCGGTTCTTGCAGAGTAGGGATGGGATCTGGCAGGCGATTCATTTGGGGAAGGACGAGATGGGGGTGATTAGGGATGGGGAGGGGAGGTGGGGGTGGTGGTCTTCTCCGATTTCCTCGACTAGAGGTACCTCTGAGCAGCACGAGAGTTGTAATGGGGACGATCTGGAAGAAGAAGTGGTCGCTAAAGAGATTGAAGCGGTAGAGGAGGATTGGCAGCGGGTTGCTGATGCTCAGATACGTCAGGAGGAGCACGAACATAAGCAAAGGAAGGGACAGGAACATGAAGAAGCAAAAAAGCTCAAGTTCTTCCTCTACTTTGGACAAAACGATCATTGGGTGGCGGATCGGTATCGGGATGAGTTCATTGAACGACGCAAAAGAGAGGGACATACGGGGAAAGAGGGAGGGACCAAGATTGTGATTGATGAGGATAGGATTCCGCATGCTTTTTGTATTAATCATAGTGAGCAGGTTGCTGAGAAGGTTAGGGTTTGGATCGAGGAGGTTGTGGAGGGGTAGATGCCCGGCGTTGGAGGAGGTACGGCGTGTTGGAGTACGACATTGTCGAGTGGAAAGCATAGAGGTAACAAGAACGGCGTTCGGCTGTTGGGTGGTATATAGAACTGCTTTATGGGCTTAGACGAGCAACATGCATTTTGAATTCGGAAGCAGGGATATGTGGGACTAATACCTAGATATCAGCTTCCAATTTGCTACAAGACTGTCGATTCGTTACCTACCTACATTCTTGCAAGGCCATGGATGAAATGCTTGGACAATGACACAGCCGTTTGGAGGCCCTTTCAACGCTTTCATACCTACCTAAGTAGGTAGCAACATCTAACACATTCAGCTTGACGCATATACTAACATGCCTCTAGTTGCCGGTTTCATTCGATTCCATTCTGCCCTGACAGTGCCATCTCTCTCCATGTCGCTGGCATCTTGAAAGACCGTTTGAGATGCCCACTGCCAGCCTTTGGAGAACCACTTCGCCCCGTACCCAAATCCTCCCATCTGATTTCCACCTTCACCTGGCCAGTATTGTAGTTGTACCTACCCCTTTAACGATCTGTTCTGGAACCTGCCGCCTAGGACTTAAACCTGGACCTGAATCTGGTTCAGAACCTGGAGTAGATCTTGGGCTAGAACCTGACATAACCTGAACCTGAACCTAAACCTGGACCTGAACTAGAACAAGAGCCTGTGATGAAGTCTAGAAACTGGGTTAGAACCTGACAGAACTTAACCGAGCCTAAACCTAAACTTGACTAAACCTGATCCTGAACCTGAACCTGAACCTAGCACTTGAGCGGCCGAGCCTTGATCCCAATCAAGGTCCACTTCAAGGTCAAGTCGTCAACTCCCGTCTCTTTCAACGCCAGCCAGCCATTCCAACGTCAGGTCCTCAACTCTCCCATTCCAATTATTGGGCTTCCCAAGTTACCTAACTTTATTCCTTTAACCCCCAGTCGTCAAGAAAGTCGTCAAGTTCTCAAGCCCTTCGATGCCCTACATTTGGTTTCGTCCCCCACCGGACCTAGAAGTACCCTGTCTCTGTTCAAAAAGGTGTATGAGCTAGCGGGAGTAGTAGGTACACTTGGAACCAAACCTGTACATCGCCAGTGACAGGGGCTTGAGCTGTGGTTCTGTTCTCCAATTTGGTACTTTGTTATAGCGTAAAAGCAAATTTGTAAAGCTGAAAGCAAAGAGCAAGGAGAAAAGATATACCTACTCTGTTGTTCAGCGCCGTACACCTCTGTCTGTCGGCTTGATCATGGCCATAGAAGGGCTAGGTATGTAGGTACTGTAAAATGTCAGTCCAAGAAGTTTGAGCGTAACGCTTTCAGAGGGATAAGGAGGAAAAAGCAAGAATGTTGGTCTGGGGCGTTCGTAGGATACGACATGCCTTGCAACCGGTATAAGCAGAGTTGACGTATGAGCCGCGGCAAGACATGCACCGTGTAGTGATTTATGGTCTAGACTGTCTTGTCAACGCTACTAGCGTGGTTGAACGATCCCTACCTCAAGGTATTTGCTATCCAATATTTAATTAGGGTAGTTTGGCGTACTACCCGCAAGTTCGAGTTCAAGCATCGGGCATGCTGTATGCGGTCAGTTTTTAGGCATCTCCTCCAAGCCTTGTCTCTATTGTTGTTGGTTTCTTTCAATGCTTCGAACGTCATCTGTCATTAAACGCATCATTGTGGTATATATCCAATTCTTGTCCTTCCTCCTCATCCCTAGATATGTAGCTAATATCTCGCCTCAATCCAATGTTTCGGGCCTTTGCCGAGAAAATATCGATCGTAGTACCGGTATCTTGTACCATATCTGGCCCTCTGACTGTCCCGCTGCTAGTGTCGCACTCCCCGCGGCAGTCGGTTCCATGTCTTCTGTACCCTTGTCGATCACAAATCCTTCGTCCGGCCTTTGTCCGACACTCGCGATCTCCATTTCCTGCTTGGCGTAATATTCGTAAGGCTTGTAGCGAAACGGCGGTTCCAATTGTGTTGTAGGCTGTCCCTCCTCAAGTGTCGCAGCTTCTGGTTCTCCCAACGGTAGGCCCGTCCTCTTTACGCGTGGTCTAGGGTCGCGTCGATCCAGCTTGTGGCAAAAGTAGTTGAAGAAGAGGAAGGAGTGGAGGAGCCTGTTACGTGCGGTCAGTTGTTTCTCAGGCAAACCACGTGAAGGCCGGAAACTCAGGTGGCGTGGACTCACATTAGTAAAAGCAGCATCGCAACCTCCACAATGCCCTTTGCCAACGGCTCATCATACGCCGGCCCAAATGACGCGGTTCCAATGATCAAATCGACCAGTACAATTCCCGTGGTTATCGCGACGCCCACAAACAAGATCCCATCAGCCCCGACATGATACACGGCTGGTATCCCGCTCGATTTGCGAATACAAATTGCAATGAACTCTGCGGTGTTCCAAGTGATGATAACGGGTGCCTTTCGCAAAACATCAGTTAGCATAACAGTCCTCTCCCAAGGTTCCCTCTAGTGACTCGAGCGAACGAGGGAACAAGGAAAACCTACCACCACAAGCACAGCAATCATCCTCCCCGGCACTCCACCCCAGTACGGCCGACTTTCGACAAACACCGTCACGTTCAGACTCCACGTGATGATGGCAACAACCGTCGAGATGGCTCGAATGATAATGGAGAAGATGAACCAGGTCCTATGGACTGATAATCCAACGCCTCGCGCGCGGCGCCATTGTTTGATGTCCCGGCGACAGGGCTCCTTGGTTAAGGGAGGAAGGGTGTCTAGCCAGGACTCGATGACAGGGTTGGTTGGTTGGTCGAAGACATAGGCGGGCGGCGGGTGCCGCAGGGGGGCATCCCGCGGCATTAAGCCGTTGGCTTTGGATGGGCTGGGCGGCGCAGCTGTCTGGTGTTTTTTTGCTCAAGGTTTTGAATTGAGCATCTCGAGCGTCCAGACGAGCCGATAAGGTGACCGAATCAGTGGATCCTTCGAAACTGAGGGTGACGGTTTCGATGGTCTTTATGGCTCGTCCAGCTTGAAGTTTGGAAGAGGGAAATAGCGGCGCAGGAAAACTATCGTGTTGTTCCTTTGAGATGCGTGTTCGTTGCTACCGGTTTGTGTTGCGGTCCTCGGTGTCTCTCGGCCCCCCACACTCCCAATTCTCAGTTCTTCCGGGCTCCTGGACCGTAATGGTGCTTGTCGGACACCCAACTTGCAAAGGTCGGACTTGTCGTTGATGAAGGCCACAAACAAGATGTCTAGATTCGAGCCATTGCGCCGCCGGGTACAGATGTTGTAAGAAATGAGAAAAGAATAAGTCAGAGCCCAGACGCGAGTGTTGAAGACGCCGGTAGGTCTAAAGCCAGGACGTTGACAAGTCGTATAACGACAGAAAACATGTTCTGGAGAAGAAAGTCCTCCTGCCGTTTGGTCAGTAAACACGAGAGAGGCCAAGCTTGTCGAGAAGGGTACCTACCATACTACGTTAGTACGAGCAAGCGTGGGAGCCGTTGTGGAGAATCGAACAAGACAGGGGAGCAGGTTTTAGGCACCGAAATGGGACCCCTGTTTCCTTGTAACGATGGGAATGCTTGACAGTCAGTGGCCCTACAGGGAGAGTCTGGAGAACGGGCAATGCGAGACACGGCACCAGCAACCTTCAGGGGGGAGTGAGACGGTGAGAGTCTGGATTCCTGCCAACTTTTGATTGGGCGGCTCTGTTAGGAATCTTTCCGTCTCAAAGCGGCCGAAATGGAACACGACAAGCAAAAAGGCCCGAGCCGTCAAGCCCTACCGGGAGTTGGGGACTCGGTTGTCGGCACATGGTGATGGCAGTCTTTTTTGACTTGCGTTCGAAGCAGTGGCTGCTTGGACTTGTGCCCTGTCGATGCTTCCCTCCCAAGAGAGTTCCTCTGCTCTGGTCAGTGCCGAGTGTGGTTGGCGTCTCGGCTCCTTCCATCAAAGTCGATCGATCCGCGCCAGATCCAGCTCCCTCCTAGGGCCCGCTCCTTCCACAGATGTATCTACATACCTCTGTCTCGAGCTTGGAAAGTGTAGAAGTAGGTAATTGCAGTCCACGCCAGTCAATGAGGAAAACGGGAGGTCTCTCGCTTAAGTTCTGCTGCTCGTGAACTGAGAGTACCTCTACTTATGGGTAAGCTCACCGTGACAGTTGCAAGGTCCAACATTTCGTGCCTCGTCTCACTTGCTCTTTCGACCCATTTCCACACAGATAAGCAGCTCTTTCTCAGGACATCCATATGTCGAAGGCCATTGCTGTCTCAAACAAACAAATGAGGGTTTTGAGAACAGGTCACATTCATGTACGACAGGCGACTGTGAATGTAAGGTGATTTTTCTTTGCATTTTTTGGTGGTAGTGTAGTGTACCATCTCGAAATTGGTGCATTAACCGATAGATTGTGCAAATGTCTTGGCGGGCTCATCCAGTGGGGTCGACGCAGGCACAATTCTCCCCAACAGCGAGTTGATAGGCAGCTGCAGTGCTGTAGAAAACCCCATTACAACCGCCGGCCCTGGAGGCATCCCCGCATCGATGCATGTGATAGAGGGGAAATGCCAAAGTGGTCGTATGTAACATACCTGTAAACCGAGCATTATGGAAATCCCAATACGGCTCGCTATGGATCAGACAGGCCATAACAACATAGTAATGGGGGTTATAATTATATGGATATGCATTGACTAGAGTCACTTGGGGATTCTGTCCTTCAGGAAGAGTTGCCTACATAGAGTTTAGGTTCAAAGGAACCTTGTATCGAATTCACATACGTTTGGATGCGTGATCAGAATGTAATGTATTGACCGTGACGCGTCGGCTCATTGTTACAACCATTCCACTTTGTGTGCTTGGTGCAGACTGCCCGGTTTACGTCACGCTGGGGATTGCTCTGCTTTGGGCTCTTGGCGCCTTCTACGGCTTTTTTTCTTGGTTGCAACTGAAACTGCACCACTCCCATCCCACCACCAGAGACAACTTGCGACTGAGTGTCTGGAGGGAAGTGCCAAATTGCATTGGTTGGGTTTTGCTCAGGTACAAATCCTCGGCCCGTTCCATTTCTGCCCTGTTTATCGAACCACTGCACTATTACTAGTACTTATCATCATCCCTTGGACTCTTCCACTTCCCGTCCACATTCTTCGCTCTACAACACCATCCCCCTCCCTCCAGTCTACGAGTCTTGGTCAGATATCTCCATCTTGACATTCTTTCAACTGTCCATCCATTCCTACCTACATTCAAACCGCAGACATGGCCAAGATCCAGCCGGCCCAAGACGAGTCCCTTCTCGGCACCGTCTTCTCCAACTTGATCCGCGCTCGCTACTTGGTGACCCGTCTAACTGCCGCTGCCGTCGACACCACCTGCCAATATGTCACTTCGCCCGAATACCGCAAGAGAACCCACGACAACGTCAGACGCTTCCACAACGAACGTCCCCTTTTGACTGTGCGTTTCTGCCTCCCCCATCCCAAGCGAACGCCAATGTCACTTGGCGATCGGGTAGCATTCAGCTAATAATCCCCCTCCTCAATCAGGTCTTCCTGGCGATCCAGTTTGCGCTCGCTCTTGTCCCGTCTCTGCTGTTTCTCGGATATATCGCCTCCACCGTCCTCATTAGCCTCGGCGGCGCCCTAATCTTTTCACTCTTCTGGATGGGCGTCGGCCTCTTCTTCTTCAGCTGCGCCCTTCTTGCTACGGGCGCTATCGGTGTCTTCTTGTTCGTCAGCTTCATTATGTTCCAGCGCGCCGTTCAGCTGCTCAACACATTGACCTCGACCCTTTCACAAGGCGCCCGACCTCCCCAGAAGCAGGAGGAGCGTGAGAAGCAGGAGGAGCGTGAAAAGCCTCTTCCCAAGGCTGAAAAAGTTCTTCGCATTGTGGATATCAAGCAGGAGGACGGGCACATGCAAAATGGCACAGAGGAGAAGGTCAACAGCGACAAGGAGTTGTAGGAAGCTCTTCCTGGGCTCAGTGGAGGCGACACGCCGCCTCCCGTGGTCTATCAAGATGCGGCCACTGGTGAAAAAGAACACGTCGAGAATCTGGAGGAGCCTAATGTAGAAATAATACAAAAAGAGGTTGACGATATTGAAGACTTGCACCAACCATTCCTTAACAGCCAAAGCGACATTTTACCTGCAATAGCTTTCGAGAACGACAAGACGCATGATCAGCCGCCCAACACCAGTGGTCCGGTCAGTTTTACCTCTACTTATTCTCCTTCTGGGTCCTTTGTCAATCCTCCTAGGTCTTTCATCAATCCCGCTGTGCCTCTAAGCCTCAGAGGCGGCGGTCTGAATGAGCCTGCTTCTGGGGAAGCGGAGGAGACCACTCATCTGTCACCTCGCGAGGACTCCTTAAACTCTCTTCCTTCGACAACCCTCGTGGGGTCTCCTCCCCTGCCGCCACCACTCCAACGGTCGCCGATACCTAAAACTACCGCGGAATGGTTCGAGACTCTGCAGCATGAATCGGAACGAATGGTCACGGGGAGCTTTATTCTCAGCGGCCTGATATTCCCCGGTGTCGGCAACAAACTCGCCGATAAACTGGCGGCTCTTTCCGGCACCAAATTGCGGGACATGTCAGCCATCAGAAACGAGTAGGCCTCGCGCCTGATGAAAATTGACCAGGAATGGTATGAAACTTATGAGCGTATTCGCGAACGAGTGCGTTTGGACAAAACCAACAAGCTAAGCAATATCGTGAGGGCAGCAAAGGCAGAGGCCAACCCGCACGTATGGTGGACCATACCGCTTTTACAGCGCTACAGATCGCGCGCTCTTTCCCCATGTGCTGCAGTGGCGCTCGCTTGCGCGGAGGACTTACTCAATGGCCTTTGTGGTCGATATGTCCAAGGTCCCATCCCATTCTCGGTTTCGTTCCCACTTCTATGTACCCCTTCACGTACAAAACAAGATGGGGGAATAGAAGTCATTCAGTTTATCGACTGCTTCGCCTCAAGATTCAAACAGCAATTTCACGGGTTTCGTCAAGAAATTGGTGCTGAAGGTGCCAGTCCTCCGACTTCTACGAACAATGAGCATATCAACACACAGAGTTTCAACAGGCTAGTGTGGTCACTGGTCGCCGATTTAGAACACCTGATATATGGAGATGAGATGCCAAAACACAAGGACACGCATCGTCCCACGAAGGTTGCCAAAACTGAAGGTGATGATACACCAAACCACGATGGACCAGCCTTCAGCATTGAAAAGTGTATCCTACAGTTATTCTGTGATATTGACCCAAAGGAATACCTCAATTGGCGCACACGCAATGAGGGACTACGCGGAACTGACAATGAGGCTGTCTCAAACACGATCGCGTCAACTCCAAAAAGTGGGGAAACTCTTACAACCGGTCAGGTTCTGCAACTCCTTGACCATCGCAAAACAGGCCCCCTAAAGTCTGAAGGCTTTGTTGTATGGTGCGGTAACCCAGATGATATCCAAACTGATGAACACCAGTTCATTTGGATGAAGTACAAAAGAAGACCACAAAGCCACGATGAACAAGCCAAAACCAAGATGAAAGCCGTAAGAAAGCGAGTTGATGCATACCTTTCTTCTTCAGAGGTACTTGCCGATCCCGCCAAGTCCGCCAATGAACCCCCGTTATCCGACATGCTGCAAACACTCAAGGCGCAGCTCGCGGAGTCCAGCTCTGGGAATGAGAGTGGGAAGAGCTTGGCCGCTGACACCAGTGCTGACGACGAGATCACAGCCGAGACTGAGCTAGAGAAGGGCCTGAGAGAGGAGCTGATCAAGCGTTGTATTTTGCGTTTGAATCCGGCTTCCGCTTCCGCTTCCGCTTCCCAATCACAGGGTAAGGGCAAGAAGAAGGATGGCGCGGCCTCCACGGTCACGGAAAAACCCGTACCAAAGCCACATCGCACGATAGGCGATGCCGCTGCGGCCGTGCAGGATGAGTTGGGCAAGGACGGAGCCGCCATTAAACTCAGTCACCACAACGGTTCCCGTGTTGTGGCCGTGAAGACCCCCATCGACCAGCTGCAAGGGTTTGAACGGGCAGACAGGGCAGACAAAACAAGGCAGGCTCAGCTGACCAAGAAGGGGGATCCGCTCACATCTCAAGAACGAGAAAAACTCTTATTGGTGGAATCCGACCTGAAAAGTATCCGCGCTGCCTTTGAGCAGCAGAAAATAGTGAACAGAATAGAGGAGTTGGAAAAGCAACAGAAGGTGAATCAAAGGCGAAAGGAATCAGAGCTTCAGATTGCCGAGGCCTGTGCCAGCGCCGGACCCAATGCCGGCTGTAGTGCTAAGAATATGGCATCACAAGCGTCGGCGGCGAGGCGGTCCGAATCAAATGAGGATAACTCGAGGGCGGCCAAGGAGGCGAAGAGAGAGCTGCCATATGAAGTGATGTGCACCGTTGCTGATGAAACGCGACACAACGCAGCTATTATCTGGCTGCAGGAACAGGGTCCAACCAAACCGTCGTCCTCGGTTAGAGGTACTTCTGAACATGGCATGGCCGACTCAGTAAAGATGCTGTCAATGGAGCAAATAAGGGCGGGCACACTGAAAGGGTGGATAGCTGAGGCCGTGAAGACGAACCAACTCGTTTTAATATTGCGCGAGCGCCTGGAGGAGATGAAACAAATAGAGGCGTTCCAGGACTGCATCGAAGACTGTCAGGCGCTTGTAGACCTTCATGAACATTGGGGGGACTTTTACCAAGAACTGGCCAGACGTGCTGCTGATGAGGAAAAGGCTGAATCCAAAGCCGAAGGACCGACAAAGGGCAAAGAGAAGGCTAAAGAGGAGGTACCTACTGAAGATGACCATGGCATTTGGCCTGCTGCATGGAGAGAACACCATGAGTACCTTGCTATGTGGAGAGAGAAGGCTGCAGAGAGAGATTCATCCAAAGTTGCCTGCGGTTGTTCATCAAGAACGGAAGAGGCAGCTGAAGGCTCAGGTACCGTTGCTGGGCCTTCTCGGACCACGAGTGAGAGTCCTGTTGTAAAAGAGAATGCATTTACCTCGACTGCAAGCGAAACGGGCAGTGATGCGGACCCAGCGGTTTCGTCTGAAAGGAGAATAGAACTGCTTGCACAAGAAATGGGGTATAAGGAGGCCTTTGACAAGGGATTGGAACGGCTGCGGAAGGAATCTGAACCCTCTAGTTTGACGTCGGTTGCTGATGGCTTCGCTAACTTCCAGGAACTGAACTCGACTGCTGATGGGAGGGCTACTGTGAGGCGTATGGAGGCGCGTGCTATGAGGTTCATTGCTGCTCACGGTGGTGCTGTCGTTGATGACGCCGTCGGTGATGCTGGTGCTGCTCCCGGTGGTGATGACATTGGCGGTACAAGTGTCGGTCCTGATAACTCCGCTGGTAGCCCCCCTGTTGCTGATACTGATACATCTCGTGGAGGTCCAGCAGATTCTGCTTCTCCTTCTAATGCTGGGTCTTCTGGCAATCCTGCTGATTCCGAGAACAATGCAAGCCTCAGAGGTGGCGGCCTAAACACATTGGAGGAGGGTTCTTAGGAGGACGAGGCCGTTGTCCTTGAGAAGGACGAAGAAACAGGAATACTCCGTAATGCGAAAGAAGTCCAGGGCTTTTGGGATGACGTCCGTCGGCAGTTGAAGGTCGATGACGACGAGATATACGACTCCGTGTCTGACTACGGCGAAGAAGCGAGAGTCCGGAGAGAGGCCAGAGATGCTGCGGATGATGCGTACCTTGCGTGGATGAGGGGGGAAATCTCTACCGCCTTCACCATGGACACATTGAAGCTCTCTATGAGACCCGACAAAGATGACAACGACAAGAGGTCCGCCCCTCCTCTCCCGATGCCCATGACCCGGGACAACACCGCCGCACTTGGTCCAGCTTCTTAAAATATTCTCGGACTGACAGACATTTCCTGCAGGAACTTGTTTTCCCCGAGGAAGTCTAATAAGTTTGAGGAAGAAGATCCCAGGGACCTGAACAGGGAGTTTGAAGAGGAGGCCGCAGCCGCAGCCGCAGCCGCAGTCGCAATGCGAGTCGAAGAACAGCAGCTACTTCTTCTCGCCGCCAAAGAGCCACCTGCACCACCCGTCGCAACACACTACCACTACCACTCATGGCCAACAAGTGGAAGAAAGTCACAGGAACCATGTGCAAACAAGGAGTTGTTGTCCAGGTGCGAAAAGCTGGCAAAGCGCGCCAAGACGTGGCCTAGTAGACTTTTTTTGTTCTCCTCTGCGAAGAAGGAAGATATTGAGTCCCATGAGGATCCCTATAAGGAGAGCACAAGTCGTCTGAAGACATTGCTGCGAAGGGTGACGGGTGCAGGAGAGGACTGGTAGCTGCTTTTATGGGATATGTAGGTACTCTGCGTCTAGCGGTTCGTTTGGTTGTAGCTGCGATTGAGTGCCTTGGCTTGGGTTCTGGGAATGTTTGGTTGATGTGGTGGGAAGATGCTGAATGACCTGCAAAGATGGAAGGGAAAGAGGTGTCGAGACGCACCCTTCGTTTCTGCAGACTTTGTTTGTTACAGCTAGAGGTAGCTTATAGCGGAATCGTTGATCATATCGGACGTAGTAGCGTTGATAAGTAGGGATCATGGAGAATGATGATTTGGCAGTTCAAAGATACCTCTAGGTTCAGTGTCGGTGAATGTCGATGGTGAATGTGAATGCATTGATGTGAAGCTGAGAGAAGTGGAAGCGGACTTGAAGTGTTGCGCGAGTTGAACGTAAAAGACAGTGCAATGCAATGGTTGGTCAAACCTGATGGATACATACAGTTAGGGTTGGGCGGGAGCAAATACAGGTGTTGCATTAACCATTACCACTGACTGACTGGATGGCAGCGCCCGGGCTAGGAGAAAGAAAACAAGCACATGGGTTCGTTCATTCAGGTTTGGGACGTCGGGGTTGCTTAGTTGCCTGAGGCGCGGACGGCCGGAGTCGAGGCACAGCATCAATCACGTCGTCGGACCATGAGAGCATGATTCACCCGATCAGGGCAGCAGTTTAGAAACAACATGTAACATGTCTATCAAAATTCCCTGATACCCTAGAAATACCTACTGACCTGATGAAGTTGATGGTCTATGTACCTATGTACGGCAGGTACCTCATCCTAAACCAGAGCGTGACCCAGTGATATTCATTCAATAAACACATCGCATCATCATTTCCAACCAACAATCCATAAACCACTTCAATCACAACACTTCAACGCAAATGGCCATGCTCAAATCTTTCAGCTTTTGTGTTCATTCCCATATGAACAGAGTCATCATAGCCATAACCCAATCAGCCTTCAAGCCACCACCTTTTTGATCACACCAAAATCCCATCCAGCCCCACGATCAAGTTTCCAGTCTATAAGTAGAGAAAAGAAGAAAAGACGTGCCCGAGTAAATTAGAAAAGAACGCCGAAATTACATGAACCAACAACCTGACTATCATCCCGCGCTTTTCCAGAGACCTTGAAATTCCTCTAGACAGCACCGGCGCTGATCATCTTCTTGCGCAGGTAGTTCTTGTAATCCGAGATGCTGCCCTCCCACTGCTTGATGGTCTTGTTCTCGCACACGAGAATCTGCTTGGCAATCTTGTCCAAAAGTCTGTTTTTTCTTTGTGTTAGCATCCAAGTCATGCGGGAGGCCAAGTGGGAACAAAACTAACCTGAAATCGTGAGAAACGACGATAACACCACCGGTGAAAGCGTTGATGGCATCGGCAAGCGAGTCAATGGTGGGGATATCGAGACCGTTGGTAGGCTCGTCGAGCAAGAGCATGTTGGGGGACTCGATGGCGAGAAGGGCAAAGACGATACGGGACTTCTGACCGTCGGAAAGGGTACCGATGAGCGAGGTCTGGGCCTCACCGGAGAGACCGTACTTGCCAAGCTGCTGGCGCCAGTACTGGTAGTCCTGAGACTTGTCGGGGTACTTGTCACGGACGAAGTCGAGAGCCGACTTGGTCAGGTCGAGCTGCTCAGCAGAGTGCTGGGAGTAGAGACCAAGCTTCAAGTGGGTGTGGCGCTGGACGACACCATCGGTGGGGGAGAGCTTGCCGGTCATGAGACGGAGCAGGGTGGACTTGCCAACACCGTTGGGGCCGACAAGAGCGGTACGGGAGTCCATGTCGAAACCGAGATCGATGTGGCGGTACAGGTCGTCCTTGGGGTCGCCAGAGTACGAGAAGGTAACGTTGTCGAAGGACAGAACGGGAGGAGGGAGCTTCTCGACATCGGCGAAGCGGAAGGAGAAGACTCTGTCCTGCTTGACAGGCTGGATGAAGCCGTCGGCCTCCATCTTGTCGAGAATCTTCTGGCGAGACTTGGCCTGACGGACCAAGTTGGCGTAGGTACCAGCGCTAGCAATGAACTTCTTGATGTGGGCAATTTCGTCCTGCTGCTTCTGGTAGGCCTTCATCTGGTTGGTCTCCTGCTCGGCGCGGGTCTTGTGGTAGGTGTCGTAGTTACCACCATAGTAGATGAGGGTCTGGAGGCGCATGTCGATCATGCTTGTGCAGACACCGTTGAGGAAATCCTCGGAGTGAGAAACCAGGACGAGGGTACGGTCCCACTTCTTGAGGTATTCTTCCAGCCACACGCAGGCCTCGAGATCCAAATGGGCAGTAGGGTCGTCGAGAAGGAGGAGGGTGGGCTTGACGAAGAGGGCCTTGGCGAGGGCGACACGCATACGCCAGCCACCGGACATGTCCTTGGTCTTCTTCTGGATGGTCTGCTTGTTGAAACCGAGACCGGTCAAAATGAGGGAAGCGCGGGTCTCGAAGGTGGAGGGATCCATCTTGTCAATGTGCTGTGATGGCAGAGTTAGTATCTTGAATGCGCCCGGCTCGGTGTGATCATAAAACGGGAATACATACATCGTAGAGGTCCTCGAGGAGGGGCGAATCGGGGCCCTCTTCCTCAAGAATCTTCTCGGCGACGCTCTCGAGGCGCGCCAACTCGTTCTTGGCCTCGGTGACAACCCAGTCAAGGGCGCCGAGCTCGCTGGGAGGAGCACCCTCGTTGAGAAGGTAGATGTCGACGTGCTCGGGAATGGGGTACTCGCGGGCGGCGATGGCCTTGAGAAGGGTGGACTTGCCGCAACCGTTCTCACCCAAAAGACCGTACCTGCGGCCGAGGGTAAGCTCGAGAGTGGCATCCTTGATCAGGACGCGGCCGTGGAAGACGAGGGAGACGGAGGTGATCTTGACGTCCTTGGAAGCCTTGGTGGAGGCCAAGACACCGGTGGTGACACGATCGGAGAGACCGTGCTTGTCCATCTGTTGGGCGAGGCGCTTGACCTCGTCCATCTGCTCGCTCTTGGTAGCGGGCTCATCCGAGACGACGGGCTTGCCAAAAGCATCGAGCTCGACTTCCTTGGCGGCCTTGCCCTTGTTGGCCTTGGCGGCCTTCTCGGCGAGACGCTTCTGCTTGGAGGCGGAGGGCGGCATCTTGGGTGATGATTCTGTGGTTGATTTGGTTTGGTGGAGTTGTGTTGGTGACGATGCACAAACACAAAGGGATACCTTTGGGGGGGTTGAAAAAAAGAAGGTGTCGAAAGAATCTAGTTCTCTCTAAACAGAATCACCAAACAAATAGTGATGGGGACTGGAGGGAGTGGTGGGCGGACTGAGAAGGAATCCGATCGAAAAAACACACACACTCTGGACAGACAAAAAAAACCGACCGTCGAGCACACAAGGGGAGGTGGAAAGGGAAAAAGAGTGCAAGCAGAAGACGGGGACAGTCAAAGTCAAATGTCGGGTTCGGTCGAAGGCAAAGAATGATTGGGGGTCCAGTACACGTTCTTGGCTTGCGATTTTGCTTGTACCCAACCAGGCCTGCCAGGGCAGAAGAGGTGGGGGGGGCGATTGCACTGTCACTGCCAAAACTTCAAAGCGGCGGGGCGGGCGACAAGGACTCGAGCCTCCCTCCGTCCTTCACTCACAGTGGCTCTGCCAGGCGGGCAAACCTAGAGGGACGGGACTTGTGGTGGGGCTTTGAATTTTCACAAATTCTCTGATAACGATTTGCTGATACTGCCCGCCAGAAGCCATCTGATAAGGAAGCAGCCTTGGCAATTAGGTACCTCTACGCTAGAGGTAGGTAGCGGTCAGGCCACAAGGCAACAACGGCTGGCTTATCGTCTGCTTATCGGTTGGTCAGCGCTCCAAACGATGCATTCGACAACTTTTTGGAATCTTTTTTTTTGTTCAACTCTGGCCCGAGTGCTGGCTTGGCTAGACCCTCGAAAAGAACAATGGCAGAGATGAAAGACGATTCGCTTTGCCGGATTTTGAGAAAATGTCCATCCTGTCCGTCCTCACCGTCTTGCTCTGCCCACATCCATTTTATCTCGTTCATGCACACAAACGAATCCAGCAAACACTTTTCCATCAGCGACTTGCACTTGTCGAATTGCTACACGTGTTGGGGCAGACGCTCGTTCTCGGTTGACGTCACTCCACCCCCCACCGCTGCATGTGCCACTGCTTGTATCGCTTACCTCATCAACTCCTTGGTGGCTGAACCGACCGTCGAGCGTTGGGGTTCGTTGCTCACAGCAGCACGTGGTTTAGCAATTTGGATTTAGTATCAGGTATAGTCATTATGAATCACACAGAAGATGTCAGCCCAAGCCATTCCATTTCAGTGCTTTTTATCACCGACACGTTTGTGAATCATTGTATCGTCGATGGGACGCCGCCGTGGCTTTGTGTATCCTGAAGGGTTAGGGTTAATACTTTGGTGCGACGCTTGGCCGGAATGTTGAGCTGGACCCTGAGGCCTGAGCAGACCTCGACGCCTCGAGACGCCGATGCGTTGCCACCCGGAGGACAGTAACTCTCTGCTTCTGGTGCCCTATCCTTCCTTCCTTCCCATCCATCAAAGCTGCTGGAAGGTGGGATACCCTAAATCGCGGTCTCTCATAGAGTTTCAAAAGGCTGTGCCCACAGTCTAGGCTTGGTTTCCAGGAAACCCTCAAAATGGATGGCCCGAGTCTCTGCGGTACCCGGTCCGAAAGAGACCCACAATTCCTGCTCGGGTCCCGGCCCAGCCCCGGCTCTATCTCCAGCTCCAGCTCCGGCTTCCATCGACCGGAATCCCAACCCGCTCTACCTAACCCAACCCTGAGCCAAGAAAATACCCAGGCCTCCCGCCGAAATTCAAATCTGGATCAAAACTGCGAGAAGGTGAAGTGGATGGCTGGTCATGCCCCCGGGCATCTTGCGCATGATGACCTTGAAAACTCACTCCAGCTGGAAAGTGCTGTAACTACCTAATTATCCATGATGCTCGTTAAGAGATACTAGCACTGTCCGATCTGTAAAATTGCGGCTTTATTCCACTGACACTATAAAAGACCAATTCTCATGCAAAAGAGGTCTTTCTAAATGCTCATGTCCAGCGGACCAGCAGACTTATAGCCAGATGCCTGGTGAGCTGTGTCATATTGGCAGGTTGGTTTTGGTTAAGCAACTTGTCCTCTCCCGATCAGGTAATTGAGTGTTTGGGTCGAAGATTCTGGCAACCGATTCGAAAAGAGAAATCAGTGTGGTGAGATATACGTACCCTATGCTCCCAGTCAGCTAAGTTGATGATTTTCTCGTGATGATGTCCATGGTTTGAAGTCAAGTCTTCGCCTTTTCCTTTTGTCACTACTTCTTTTTCTTACCTGGGTGAATTTGTCCAGATCTGTTAGACCACCACACACACAAAACTTCCTGATGCTAGAGACATTCTACGAAAGTACCCTTTTTCTCCCTTATCGGGGATGGTGGCTTGAGATGCGCACCTTTGAGTAAATTTTTTCGACTTCCACACCTGCTTCATGCTGTCTTGGTGTCATGCCGGCTGGTCTCATCTTGCTCGCTTGCTTTGAGCTTGTCCTGCCCTGCCTGTGCAATGTACATCTAGAGCCTGGCTTACGTGCCCTGTTCGGATGCGTTCTGCGTGGCCTTGGCTTGAACAACCTTCAAGGTTGCCCGTCCGCCGCCGTGTCAGGCGAGTCCGCTCATCTCTTTGTCCCGTCCGCTGTGTTGGCGTCCCCAGGGCAGACAGGGTACTTGTTGTTCAGAGAAGAATTCTTGATGGTGTTGTTATTCAAGTTCCGTCCGTTTCGAACACGAGGTTTACAACAAGCTCTGCTCAGGCGAGCCAGAGCGAGCGGGCAGTCACAGTTCCAAGGTACCGTGTACGTGCAATCGTCTCAGGAAATCCCGCGTGGGAGTCGTGGGTTCGTAGCTGACAAAGTGAAACATGATGAACCAAATTCTCAGGTTATGTCATCTGATCTGGAACATGAGTCCTCGTGCTTACTGCGAACACTGCAGTTTGGGTCTGCACTGCCGGCGGCCGGCAATTCCCGGCAGGCAATGATGAATTCGCAATCTCATTGGTTATCATTGAGCTAATAAGGTACGTACCTCTGCGCACGTACCACTCAGTGAGCTCTGCTGGTACCTAGCGGCAAGAGGAAAAGAACTTGAAGGCGACCATCGAATTTTGAATTCTGATTGATTTTCTCGACCGGGCCAACGTGAGTAGGCAGGGCAGGGTAAGCCAGCCAACAACAGGGTAGGCGGCAGGGCGGTCTGCACGACATTCGAGAAAACTACAAGTTTTTCAGCTGCTGCCCTGGCATCATAACCAATTGTTTATGTCCTTTCGCCTTCTCTGAAGGATGGATATGTCAATTCAAAAGTCAAAAGGATGGAGGAAACTATGTCGGAAACAAGGAGGTGCACGGCAAAATGGGTAGTGCGAGGTTGGAACAACATGGGCGATGTGGCCTCGGGCTTTTTCTCCAGGCCCCAGAATCATTCCAGTCCCGTCGCAGGGGTACGTACCGTACCGCCCGCCCCAGCCGGCCGCGTTCCGCGCGTGCACCCCGTCCGTTCTTTCGATCGCGCCAAGGCTGGAGATTTTTCGAAGAAGCATGATGGTAAAATTCTGGTAAAAATTCGACATTGGAGTTTGTGATGCCAAAATATCGAATGTTGCTCTACGCTCATGGTGAAAGGAGGGTGGATCTTCATGTAACGAAAAGATAAGTAGGTTGGCAAGTTTAATGGTTGGGCGTTGACTGTGTCTTTCTATTTCGCGGGCTGGCATAGCACTTCGGCAGTTCTCGTCCACATCAATGGAGTGGTTCAGATGAGAAAATCGTGCCTTGGCTTGGCGTTGTTTTTCAGCCATGACTCTGACCGGACACAGCCCGAGCGACCGGGAGATGAAACATCATACGCGTTCAGCTTGTATTATCACCAGATTGATGTTATAGTAAAAATACTCGAATACCAAGGAGTATACGTTTCGCGGCGCAAAAAGCAAGCCAAGTGACAATGCCAACTAATCAATCACCACATGGTGATGATGCTCAAAGTATCATCCCGTGATGGTTCTGTCCAACTCAAGCCTCGGGTAACAGGCGGACAGGCTAAGAAACAGACGCGGGCCTAACAGGACAGGGACCAAGTCGGTGGGTCTAGCGCGGTGGGCTGACGTCTTGCGCGGAGCGCAGAGTTGCAGGGCACAGGGCAGTAGGGCACAGGGCAGGTGCGTGCAGCGGGTCGTGGAGGTACAAGGCCAATCAGAAGCCGGGAAATGGATCTGCTGCAACGGGAATGGGATGCATCCAATGTGGTGCTGGACTGGGGTGGGCAGACTGGGCCTCTTGATGGATGGATCGCTCATCCTTCACGAGAGGCAACTGGAAGACCAGCAGCAGCGCGGCCCTACGAAAGGGGCACGTCTCCGGTGAGAGAGAGAAGAGGGAGAGAGAAAGTGTGAAGAGTCTGCATTTCCACAGACACGCACACAACGCAGATAGACCCCCCCCCAAAAAAGAGCAAGTACCTGTAGATGTGGCCATCAGCCGGAATAGAACGGACCAGCCGGGCAACCATCATGGTCAAGGCTGTCAACAACAACTGACCATCGCGAAGTACCTCTTGCCATTCCACGCTATCACCACGACTCCCAACACCATCACACCGTTCCTGTCCGGGTCTCCATCGGCCATTTCTCCTCTTCCGTGCTGTGTCATCTCAACCACTTTACAATCTGGCTTCCATCCAGACTCGCTCCCCCCGTCATCCGACGATCCCACATCACCACCACCAACACAACCATCACCACCACAGCGATTACTTGCTGCCCATCAAGACCAGTCACCATCTAGTAGTGTTTCAGCTGTCATTGCGACTTTTGGACGATTGCTCCCAATCTTTCCCGTGACGACTGCAGTTACTGCCTAGCGACAACTGCGTTGCGACAGCTCTAGTTTCCGAATAGCTTCTGCCCCTCAGCTTGTCATCTCGGGTTGCCGCCATTCTGTCCGATCCGCAAGTCGCGACAACAACCGCTTGTAGCAGCCAAACCACCACCACCGCCACCCGACCGATCAGCCGCAACGGCCAAGACAAAGTCATTGATTCCGACCCCGAATCGACCGAATTCTAGAGCAACGCAGTCGAGAAGCATCAAAACCACCTCTACAAATGCACTAGAGCATAACAGAGCAAGCTCGCCGCTCTTCCTTGCGCCGCGCCCACTTTGTTTGGATCGCGCCCAAGTACAAGCAAGGCAGTGGAAACAGGGACTCGCCGGCAATC